GCAGGATCCAGAATGAGCAAAAGCCACAAGCCTTGCCAGAATATCCACTTATATTCAATTCAGGCCAGATGCCCAAGGAAACTCCCTTTCAATTGATTGGTTACTCACAGCAGATCCCATCATGGAGGTGATCACATAATATCAAATCTTATCATGGAAGTGATCACACCATCATACAACTATCAAATCACTGAGGATCATGGCCCAGCCAAGCTGACACACAGCCTTAACCATTATAGACAGACACATAGACTAATGGAATAGAATCAAGAACCCAGATGTAAATCCATAAATCTGTGGTCAGCTGATCTTTGACAAAGGCCCAAAGTCCATTAAATGGGGAAAAGACAGTCTTTTTAACAAATGGTGCGGCAAAACTGGATGTCCATCTGTAAAAAAAAAAAAAAAACAGCACCCATACCTCACACTATACACAAAAATTAACTCAAAATAGATCAGAGACCTAAATATAAAACCTAAAACAATAAAGATCATGGAAGAAAAAATAGGAACAACACTGGAGGCCCTAATACATGGCATAAAGAGAATGCAAATCATGAGTAACAGTGCACAAACACCAGAAGAGAAACCAGATAGCTGGGAGCTCCTAAAAATTAAACACTTGTGCTCATCACAATTCTTCACCAAAAGAGTGAAAGGAGAACCTACAGACTGGGAAAAAAATTTTGGCTACAATATATCTGACAAGGGTCTAATATCTAGAATCTACAGAATACTTCAGTATCTCAATAACAAAAAGACAAATAATCCAATAAAAAAAAATGGGCAAAGGATATTAACAGACACTTCATCAAAGAAAACATTCAGGGCAGCTAACAGACACATGAGGAAATGCTTGCGATCATTAGCCATTAGAGAAATGCAAATCAAAACTACAATGAGATACCATTTCACCCCAACATTTCTGTCACTAATCAGAAAATAATAAATGTTGGAGAGGTTGTGGGGAGATTATAACTCTAATGCACTTCTAGTGGGAATGTAAAATGGTACAACCACTATGGAAAATGATATGATGCCTCTTTAAAAAGCTAGAAATAGAAATACTATATGATCTAGCAATCCCACTCCTAGGAATATCCTAGAGAAATAAGAGCTGTCACACGAATAGACATGTGCGTACCCATGTTCACTGCAGCATTATTCACAACAGCAAGAAGATGGAAACAACCTAAGTGACCATCAGTAGACGAATGGATAAACAAATTATGGAACATAAACACGATGGAATACTACACAACAATCAAGAACAATGATGAATTCATGAAACATCTCACATGGATGAATGAAATAAGTCAATCACAAAAGGACAAATATTGTATGAGACCACTGTTATAAAAACCAAAGAAAACGTTTATGCACAGAAAGAAACAATCTTTGATGGTTATGAGGGAGAGGAGGGGTGGGGAGGGGAAATCACTAACTAGATAGTAGACAAGTATTAACTTTGGTGAAGGGAAAAACAATAAACAATATAGGAGAAGTCAGCACAACTTGACCAAGGCAAATCATAGATGTGTTTAGACACATCCAAACACCTTGAGAGACCAAGTTACTGGGGCTGAGGGGTGGGGACCATGGTCTTAGGGGACATCTAGGTCAATTGGGATAACATAGTTCGTAAAGAAAATGTTCTGCATCCTACTTTGGTGAGTAGCATCTTGAGTCTTAAAAGCTTACGAGAGGCCATCTAAGATATATCTACTCGTCCCATCATGTTCGGAGCAAAGGAGAATGAGGAAAACCAAAGACACAAGGAAAATATTAGTCCAAAGGACTAATGGACCACATGAACCACAGTGCCTACCAGTCTGAGCCCAAAGGAACTAGATAGCGCCCTGCTACCACCACCAACCACTCTGACAGGGATCACAATAGAGGGTTCTGGACAGAGCAGGAGAAAAATGTAGAACAAAATTTAAATTCACAAAAAAAGACCAGATTTACTGGTCTGACAGAGACTGGATGAACCCCCGAGACTATGGCCCCTGGACACCCTGCTAACTCAGTACTGAAGCCACTTCCAAAGTCCACCTTTCAGCCGAAGATTAGACAGGCCTATAAAACAGGCAATAGCTCAGGTGAGGAATGTGGTTCTTACTTCAATCAAGTAAATGAGACCAAATGGGCCACACCTGCCCAAAAGCAAAGATGAGAAGGCAGGAAGGGACAGGAAAACTGGACTAATGGACGTGGAGAATGTCCTGGATTGAATTGTGTCCCCCAAAAATATGTGTATCAGTTTGGTTAGGCCATGATTGTGTGATTGTCCACCATTTTGTCATCTGATGTGATTTTCCTATGTGTTATAAATCCTGTCTCTATGTTGTTAATGAGATGGGATTAGTGGCAGTTATGTTAATGAGGCAGGACTCAATCTACAAGATTAGATTGTGTCTTAAGCCAATCTCTTTTGAGATATAAAGAGAAGTGAGCAGAGAGACGGGGACTTCATACCACCAAGAAACAAGAGCCAGGAGAATAGTGCATCTTTTGGATGCAGGGTCCCTGTGCTGAGAAGCTCCTCAGCCAGGGGAAGATTGATGACAAAGGACCTTCCTCCAAAGCCTTCCCCTGGAGCTGACACCCTGAATTTGGACTTGTATCCTGCTGGACTGTGAGAGAATAAATTTCTCTTTGTTAAAGCCATCTACTTGTGGTATTTCTGTTATAGCAGCACTAGATAATTAAGACAAGAACCCAAGGTGGAAAGGGAAAGGGGGAGAGTGCTGACACATTGCGGGGAATGCAGCCAATGTCACAAAACAATTTGTATATAAATTTTTGAATGAGAAGCTAATTTGTGCTGTAAACTTACACCTAAAACACAGTAAAATTAAAATAATAATAATTTTTTTCTAGTGTTTTAGCTACAATATTGTGGTAATCTGTATTTGTGAACCTGTATCAATAACTTTTTTGAGAATGAAGTATTAATTAACGGAAAAGAAGAAGTGATGTATGAGAGTTATGATTTACGAGTAACATTAGTACAAAAAATATTACTAAGGATTCTGTATGGTTTGGTATGGGAGGAGATCCGTGTGTGTGTGTGGGGGGGTGACACCATGAGTTACCCCACTGGGTGACACCAACCCTAGTGACACCATAGCACACACAGCCTTGAAAACCCTATGGAGCAGTTCTACTCTGCACACATGGGGTCACCATGAGTCAGAAATGACAGGATGGCAAATAACAACAATGTAGGGCACCCAGGCACAGAACACGCAGTCACTAAACATTCATTATAATCTCCTGCCCTCCTTCTCCCCTCTTTACTGACCCACTAAGCCCCAGTTTCTCTCTAGCTCCCTAGTTCTCCCCTTTGCTCCGTGGTCACATGAGGGCCACCATCCTTCCCTCAAAACCAGCTTTTAGAGCCAGAATCTACTTCAATTGTGAGACCTAATGGGCCACCTGGGACCCAACAGCAGGGGGCATGTGGGTTCCTAGGGACTGAGCAAGACTTCAGTACCACTTGGGAGAACAGTCCAGAGCAAGCCAGACAACAGGACCAATTCCCATAATCACTCTGGGGATCAACAAAATGTTTGGTCCAGGAGACCTGGGGACACCGGGCAGGGTGATCATTCAAAATCTGGGAGCAGGGGCCAAAGACCCCCAGACAGAAGCCCAGGCCTGTGGGTGGGGCTAACCTAGGAGGGAGGAAGGAAAGCTATGATTCAGAGCTCCGACTGCAACAGGTTTGGTTTTGGGTACACCTCCAGGAAGGATCCTGGTGGTGCAGTGGTTAAAGCGATAGGCTGCTAACTGAAAGTTTGGTGTTCGAACACGCCAGTCACTCTGCAGGAGAAAGATGTGGCAGTCGGCTACCATAAAGATTTCAGTCTTGGAAACCCTATAGGGCAGTTCTGCTCCGTTCTATACAATCACTATGAGTCAGGATGGACTCGACAGCAATGAGTTTGGTTTGGCTTCAAACCTCGAGGAGTCCCTGGGTGGTGCAAGCAGTTAATGTGTCTGGTGGCTAACTGAAAAGTTGGAGGTTTGAGTCCACCCAGAAGTGCTTCAGCCAAAAAGCCTGGCAATTTACTTGCAAAAAATCAGTCATTAAAAACCCTGTGGAGCACAGTTCTACTCTGACACACATGGGGTTGCCATGAGTCAGAATCAACGTGCTGAAAACTGGTTTAGACCCTCGGGGGCGGGTACATTAGTGATTCAGCGGTAGCATTATCACCTTTCATGTGGGAGTTGTCGGTGTGATGTGCCGTCAAGTTGATTCTGACTCACAGCAACGCTGTAGGACAGAACAGAACTGCCCCATGGGGTTTTCTAGACTGTAATCTTTACAGGTGCAGATTGCCAGGTCTTTTCTCCTGTGGAGCCGCTGGTAGGTTTGAACCACCAGCCTTTCAGTTAGCAGTGAGCACTTAACCATTGTGCCACCAGGGCTCCTTTCATGCGGGAGACTCGGGTTCAATTCCCAACCAAGGCACCTCATGTGCAGCCACCACCCATCTATCATTGGAAGCTTGTGTGTAGCTGTGATGCTGAACACGTTTAAGTGGAACTTCTAGACTAAGAGGACGTAGGAAGAAAGGCCTAGAGATCTACTTCCGAAAATCAACCAGTGAAATCCCTATGGATCACAACAGTCTGATCTGAAACCGATCATGGGGATGGCACAGGACCGGGCAGTGTTACATTCAGTTGTGCATGAGGTCACCATGAGTCAAGGGCCAACTCCATGTCAGCTAACAACAAAACAAGATCTCCAGAGAAGAGTCCATTTTAGGTCCCCAGGGATAGGGGTGTGAGCAGGTTCCTGAGGTGTCTCCAGCGAGATCTGTAGGTAACTGCACCAGTGAGCTCAGCCTTGGGAATGAGACAACACAGGGTGGGGGAAACAAAGAAGGCAGAGAACTAAGGGAGGAAGAACAGCAGACAGGACATTTTGCTTATCTGCAAATGTTATATGCAATTATAGTACAATCTGTCTTATTCCCTTACAGGTAAGCACAAATGCTTCCAGCTTGAGAACGGCAGATCCAAAAGGTCGGAGTGCATTGTTGGCTGATATCCAGCAAGGAACTCGCCTACGAAAAGTCACACAGATCAATGACCGCAGCGCCCCACAAATCGAGAGTAAGTGAGCAAGTTGGCCAGGCGACCGTGAGCTAAGGAGACAAGGCAGGGGTTGCATTTGTTACTGGGACACATGTTAGTCCATGTCAGACCCGTCAGTGCACAGGCCGGGGGGCCAGAGAAACCGAGCTTCCCTTCAAGGTCTTGTAGGTGGTTTATAACATACCTTCCATCGCTTTCAAACATTAAAAAATATCTCCATGGTGGGGTGGCCTTGTTTTTTATTGTGGTAAAGTATGCCTAACATAAAATACACTTTTTTAAAGTATACAAACCAGTGGCATTTAGTACATTACAGTGTTGTGCAACCATCACCGCTGTCTAGTTCCAGAACATTTTTTTCACCCCAAAGCAAACCCCCTACCCATTAAGCAGTTACTCCACACCTTCGCCTCTTCCCAGACCCTGGCAACCCCATAATCTATTTCTGTCTTTATGAATTTAACTATTTTGAACATTTCATATAAATGGAATCACACAGTGTGTAGGCTTTTATGTCTGGCTTCTCCCACTCAGCATAACGTTTTCAAGGGTCATCCATGTCATAGAATGTTTCAGCACTTCATTCTTTTTTAGAATTGAATAATGCTCTATTGTACAGATATACCATATTTTGTTTATTCATTGTGAGGTAACTTTTAAAGATCACTTACTGTGAATAGAGATCAAAGGTTATTAGCAGTGACCAGGGGCGGCCAGGCAGGTGGGAGGGAAGGGAAAAGGGGGACAGGGGACACTGAGCTTCTGTTAAAGGTGATGGGAAATTTGGAAACAGATAGTGGTGATGGTTGAACAACATGATAAACGTAGTTAATGTCACTGAATTGTACATGTTAGAACGTTGAAATGGCAAATGTTTTGTTTTATATCTATACCACAATAAAATAAATGTATGGGAGGGGAGATCACTTACCCTGTTTCAGCATAATCCTGACAGTGACAGAAAATTAAATCTCAACATGAAAAAAATGCAAGGATTTTATTTTGTTTCCACATGGAAAAAGATGTATTGATGATTCTGTCTCATGGGATCATATGAGTGCAGCTCTCTAAAGTATGACAGAATAAAAGGAGCCTTATGCTTGGGTCAGTGACACACGTTTGAGTTCTGGTTCTGCTGCCAGGAAAATCAGTGAACCTTTTTGAGGCTCAGTTTGCTCATCTGCAAAATGGGGAACATAATATCTGTTCTCTTTTAACTCAGTACTGAAGCCACTCCTGAGATTCACCCTTCAGCCAAAGATTAGACAGGCCCATAAAACGAGTCTAAATGGGCATACCAGCCCAGGGGCAAGGACGAGAAGGCAGGAGGGGACAGGAAAGCTGGTAACGGGGAACCCAAGGTTGAGAAGGGGAGAGTGTTGACATGTTGTGGGTGTGGCAACCAATGTCACAAAACAATATGTGTATTAATTGTTTAATGAGAAACTGATTTGCTCTGTAAACCCTCATCTAAAATACAATAAAAAAAAAAAAAGATAAGAACAATTAAAAAAAAAAGGATGCCTGGATGCATCCACATTTACTGTATTTTCACAGAGCTCAATAGATACTTTTGATGAAGGAAAGGGCAGAATCATTGGTCCAGTGTCCCAAACACGGACCCATCATCAGCCAACGAATTGGCTCAGTCAACCAAGTGTCTTACCTGAGCAAGTTGTCTTACCTGAGGGAACAAAGACACCACCTAGAATAAATGAAATTATATCACCTTTAAAAAAATAAATAAAACTTGTTCTTTGTTTTTTGCCAAGATAGTTGAAGGCTGAAATAATATATGCAGAACTATTAATGTAAGGTATTAATATATTTGAAATGAGGTACATGATGGTAATTCTCAAAGATGATTTTGAAAATATAGTTGTATCTGGTATCTGTGATTATATGTGTTAATGCGCAAGGATAGACAAATTTTTTTTTTTTATTGTACTTTAGGTGAAGTCTTACAGAACAAATAGTTTCTCATGAAACAGAAGTACACATGTTGTTTTATAACATTGGTTAACAACCCCACAACATATCAACCCTCTAACTTCTCAACCTTTTTTTTTTTTGGTGAAAATACACATAGCCAAAGATACACCATTTCAAAAATTTCTACATGCACAGTTCAGTGACATTGACTACGCTCTTCGAATTGTGCTGTTATTCTCACTTAAGATGAAGGCTTACAGAACAAAATAGTTTCTCATTTAACAGTTACTACAAATGTTGCCCCATGACAATGGTTAACAATCTCACAACACATCAACAATATCCTTACTCAACCTTGGGTTCCCTATCACCAGCTTCCTTGTCCCCTTCTGCTTTCTGGCCCTTAGACAAATTTTTTTAAGAAGTATTTTCAACATCGTTTGCAACAAAAATTAGTTTCTGGTTATACCCACTATCTTATTAGTTAGGCCCAAAGAACAGATAATACCATTTTATTGGAACATTCATTTTCTAATATAATATTTTGTAATGTTAATACTCAAAATAATCTGGCCGCATTCAGCCACCAGTGGGCACTGTGCGCTAATTTCTTGGTGCATATTAGCCTCAGGTTATAAACCTTTTCTGCCAGGATTCTTGTTGAAGCTAAGTATCTTCTCATTGTTTGGGGCTGGTAATCACACACCCTGGAAGAGCGGGATTAGTGACACATCTCGGGGTCTTGTGAGCCTTCTCTTCCATAGAAACCATCTGCAGGGGCAGGGGACGATGAGGGGCTGGGGAAGTGAGAGCCGGGGAGGCAGAGAAGGGAAATGCTGAGGCACAAGTCTTTGAAGGCCTTCACTTCCTGCTTGTGGTTCTGGTAAAGGCTCTGTGGACAAGAAGTTAAAATTACTGGCTGAATGGAATCTGTGGGTTTTCTTTGTCTAGCCTCCTACAGCCAAGTTGAAAATAGGACTAACACTACACCTAGGACCCTGTAGGACAGAGTAAAACTTCCCCACAGGGTTTCCAAGGCTGTAATCTTTACGGAAGCAGACTGCCACATCTTTCTCCCATAGAGCGGCTGGTGGGTTTGAACCACCAACTTTTGGGTTAGCAGCGCTTTAACCACTGCACCACCAGGACTCCCTACACCTATAATGTTTGGGTTTTCTAATTTGAAAGGTGCAGCCAGTCCCCCTCTCCCCTCCCCGCTGACACCTACAAAATGGGAGTATCTAGGTCCCTTTGTTTTGGTTACTTTTCAGGGTGGCTGGCCACTGATGGTCAGCACTTTGGTGGGACCGGAGAGTGTTGCAGGCAGACCTAGACCCATGAGACCACAGGGTCTCAAGGCAGAGGGCGCTTGGGGAAGACCCTGGTGCAAGGGCAGCGTTGGAGGTGGGAGAATGAGAAGGCCGCCAAGGGCTCTCGAATCCTCATGTACTTGTCTCTTTACTCAGATTCTAAGGGAACCAACAAAGAAGGAGGTGGTTCTGCAAACTCCAGAGGTGGGAGCACACTTCCAGCCTTGGGAGATCTGTTTGCTGGGGGCTTTCCTGTGTTACGACCAGCAGGTCAGAGGGATGCAGCAGGTAAGAAAGAATCCAGACCTGCCACCTTGTGATCTTTATCTCCTTTAACTTGTAGAAGCAGCTGGGACATCCTCACATGTCAGTGGGTGATCTGCTTTCAGTGAACAGTCATATAGTAGGAGATCATGTATTTGGAAGCCTAAGCGCTGGAGGTTTCCGAACCACAGAATTGTTCTCAAGGTAGCTTTTAAATCATCATCCTATTTAAATCACCCCATTGTAATAACTAAAGAATGATTTGCTATAGTGTGTAGTACCTGGCAATGTTGTAATAGTGGCCCAGACAGAGAAATACAGACAGAGGATGCAAATCTTAATCAAAAGAGGCATTGAAGATCTAGTGGGGGTTGAGCTGATAGAGCTACAAAGTGAAGAAGCCAACAGACCAGGAAACATTGATCCTCTTGGAAATGAGCATAAATCCTTGGAAAAGGGGGCCTTGAACTTGAAAAGGAAGCAGTGGAACTGGGATATTCCAGGTCATTTGACCTAGGTCACCAAGTGCAGGGTATCTCCCCATTGTCTTCTGAGTTACCGTATATCTTCAGATAATCTTGAATCTTCCTCTGATACAGAAACAGAAAGTCCTTGTTCACAAAGTGGTGGGGTGAGGATAAACTCTAGGCAGAGAGCTTCTGGTTGGGTACTCCCGAGAATCTACCCTGGAACCTAACAGCTAATTAGCCTAGAGGGTACCAGGGAATGAGAGTGAGGGGTGGTCTTGAGGTGAGGAAGGGCAGGTCAGAGCAGTCCTGTGCCCTGGTGCCCTGGGCTTGGAGACACAGAGGCCCTGGGTCGATGAGGGCAAGTGAGCACTGCAGACAATCTGGCATGGCCTGGCCTGGGCTTGTCCTGGACGAAGTCAGCATGTTGACGCTGAACAGGGCCTTGTGTAGCCCGCCGGCCCTCGTGTGTAACAGCTGCTGCACCTGAGGCCTTCTCACTGGACATGCAGGAAGAGGTGTCCGCCATGCTTCTCACTCACATTGCATTGAGAGGGTCAGGGATTCACACACACTCACACACACACACACACACACCTTTGGACTTTCTCTTTCCCTTGTTGCAGAACTAACTCAGAACTCATTTCACTTCCAGGTGGCAAGACAGGGCAGGCCCCTGGCTCCCGAGCACCTTCTCCCAGGCTTCCCACCAAAAATATCAGCGGTCCACTGAATCCCCCTGCATCTCCCCGGCTGGGAAATGCCTCCGAGGCACATGGCACTGCCCGGACAATCCCTCCTCGCCCCAGCATGCCTGCCCCTCCTCCTCCCACCTCACCCCCACCTCCCCCACCCTTACCCCCACCCCTGCCCCCATCCTCCCCTATCAAAGCTCCACTGGTGTCCCCACCTGGCCCACCCAACAAAGGGAACCCTCCAGTGGGTACACCCCCTCTCCCCACTGTGGCGCCTCCACCTCCACCACCACCACCTCCTCCAGCCCCACCCCTGCCACCACCGGCCTCAGTTCTCAGTGACAAGGCAGTGAAGCCTCAGCTAGCCCCTTTGTACCTACCACCCATCCCACCCCCACTCCCCCTTCTCCCACCCTGTGGGTATCCCGGACTCAATGCAGATGCTGCCAGCCCCACCCAAGATATGCAAGAGCTCCGGGCCCCACCAGCTTCTCCACCCCCACCACCTCCGCCACCCCCACCACCTCCGCCTCCGCCGCTCCCCGTTTATGCCTCGTGCTCCCCAAGGTCTGTGCCTGTACCCCCTTTGCCAACCGCTAATAACAGCAGTGAAGCACCACCCCCACTACCCCCCAAGTCCCCCAGTTTCCAGGCCCAGCCCCAGAAGCCGAGTGTGCAGGCCTTGCCCATGCCTCCAGTCCCACCAGGGCCGCAGTTCCTGCAGAAGAAGAGGCACAGCCGAGGCCCAGGTAAGCAGCCCTCTTCAGGCCAAGGGCATAGTATCAGAGGGCCATTAGATTCTTGACAGTACGTATGGCAGTGCTTAGGGGCGCAGCCAGAAACCGACTCCTGTGAGCCACATGGGAGGCAGGCAGGTGGGCCACACCTTGGTGCCCCTCCTAGAGCACAGTAAGAACTTGTAGCTGTCTGGGACTTTATTGTTGGAGGCACTCATTTTAGAACCAGGAAGGCTGAGAGAGGCTAAGAGATTTGTCCAAGATCAAGCAGCGTACTAGCAAAGGATTCTGGCCTTGGTTTCTTCTCCACTTCCTGGCTGTGTGACCCTGAATAATCACTCAGCCTCTCTGTGCTTCCTTTTCTTTGTCTATAAAAGAGGGATAGCAATAGCAAGACCTCGTGTGGTTGTTGTAAGGGTTAAGTAAGCTCATACAGGTGAGGTGCTCAGAGCACAGCCTGGCAACAGTGAGCTCTAGAGAAGGGTTCTTACTCCTGCTGCCATCACTCAGACTGCACAGCTCCTCCCCGCAGTGGAGGGGCTGTAGGTGCAGTCTATTTCTAGAACAAAGTCTCCTGTTGACTCTTTGCCTGAGTTATTTCAGGCGGGCTCCAAAATTGGCACTGGCCGTCAGTAGACTGGATTAGCATTCTGCCGTACTTCTGGCAGGTTCGCCAGCTGACTTGAAAAAAGCGAGGGTCTGTGTTTTGAGCCAAAATTCAGAATAATTCTTTCATATATCCAGTAGCAAGTGGATTCTGAATTGAGTATACGTGCCCATGACTGATTTCCCTATAGAGTAGTGAGGCTTCCTTCACCTTTGGTGCCTTACATCTACACACATCCGCATACACACACGTTCCCACACACAACATCCACAAATACCCCCCACACACATCCATACACACACATCCACACACAAATCCCCACACACTCACATTCACAAACACACCCACATACACACACCCCACACACACATCTACACACACATCCACTCACACACACATCCCACACACTCACACCCCCCACACACATCCATACACACACGTACCCACATGCTCACATTCACAAACACACCCGCATACAAACCCACATACACACCCACACACATCCATATACACACATCCACACACATCCACTCATGCACACATCCCACGCATCCACAAACACACCCACATCCACGCACACACATCCACTCACACACGTCCATTTACACACACGTTCCTACTCACGCTACACATACACGCATATACGTCTCCACACACCCACATACACACACATCCCCTCACATATATTCATGCACACACCCAAACACACTTATAAACGTGCACTTACACATCCTCACAGCAACTCATCCACATGTGGAAACACTCATGTACTCATCTGACACACACATGCACACACCCAACATACATCTACACTTATACTCATCCACACATACACATTAGTTGGTCTTTTAGAGAATTTTTTGATATAGAAAGTTTCTTAAATGTTTTCCCCTGAATTAAAAATAATACATGCTTATTGTAGAGCAAATAGGAAGAAAGAAATTGAAATCACCCATAATGACACCACTTGGAGATGGAAACTGCCATATTTGGATGGGTTTCCTTTCTTTTTTGTATATATCTACATATTTACATAGTAAATACCATTTTTTAATATTGTATTAAAGCAATTTTCTCAGATCATTAAAAATTTTAAGTATATTAATATGATAATCAGTATGTACCATATCCCTAGTGTGCAATATTTAAGCTGATTTCATTTTTTGTGATGGATAATACTGCAGGAAATATATTTTTGTAGGAACTTTAGCGTAAATTTTGGCTATTTTTTTTAAAGGAGAGGTTCCAAAAGAATTCCTGGTTCAAAAGACAATAATATGTTTAAGGTTTTTGATCACAAGGGGAAGTTTTGATCAACTGACTGGTCACCATGCAGGCAACATTTGTACTGGTGACACTTGTGAGTTTTAAATTTCCGTGGTGTAGTGTAAAGAACAATGCTTTGGATTCAGAGACATCTGAGTTCAAATCCTGTCTTCTCTACTCACTCCTGTGTAACCTCAAGCCAGTTTTTTTACTTTTAATCTTCTTGAACCTTGTTTATTTGTAGTTTTTTTGGGGGGAGGTGGGGTCAAATGGGAATAATAACACCCTTTCTTACAGAATTGTTATAAAGATGACATGAGACAATGTGTAAAGAGCTTGCGCGTAGCTGGCATCAGGCCGCATTATTTCCTTTCCTTCTCCCTCACCTCGTGAAGGGGCAGCTTTTCATTCAGAGCGGGGGTCAGCAGTCTGTTAGCTCCTTTAGTCCCTTTAAACCAGTTGATTCCAACTCATGGCAACACCAAGTATATCAGAGAAGAATTGTGCTCCATAGGGTTTTCAGTGGCTGATTTTTTCAAAGTAGATCACCAGGCCTTTCTTCCAAGGCACCTCTGGGTGGACTTGAACTGCCAGTCTTTCAGTTAGCAGCTGAGCTCATTAACCATTTGCACCACCCAGTTAGTCCCTTTAGAAGCAAGTAAATCCCCTGTGGATCTTGGTATCTAGAAAGGGAAGACCAAACGGGGAGGAAGTAGGCTGGAAGTGAGAAGGGAAGATGGACAGCAACTGAAGGGAGGGAAGGAGCCAAGATGGTGGCAGGCAATGGAGACCAGCGTCTGCTTCATGGGCTCTTCGCATGCTCCAGAGCAGTAAACCTGAGGCTTGGAATGGATGTTTGTCTGGCCTTTTGCTTCATGTCTTTAAACATTAAACTTAGTTTTTCCATGTATAAAATGAGGGTAATTTCTGCTTCGGCCCAGTTTGAAGATTAGAAAGAGGTTGTAATTGTGAACATCTTGGCACAGATAAGAGTAGTGTAATTGCCTTTGTTGCAAGATTCAGAGCGAGGTTTGCAATGTCATTAAGAAATGAGCAACAGTAGAAAACCTAAACTGATGTGCCGGGACAGTGGGTTACTAATTGCCAAATGAGTCATACAGAACAGAATTGGCAAAGGAGAGAGGGAGCCTCTCATGGGAGTGATCAGGGAGGGTTTGATGAAGGTAGGATTTGAGTTGGGGCTTGGTGGGTGGGTAGATTTGGATTGACTGGATAGAGAAGGGAGGGTTTGTAATGCCAGGGAACCAGTGTGAACAGATATCCAAGGGCAGGAATAAGCCCTCAACAACCTTCTAGCCTCCTTCTGAGCCCTCACTAAAGACATTCATTGTCTTTCTTATAACTGCAGTGGTTCCCCTTCTATGGGCTGTAGCATCTGCTGATGAGGGTTACCACTGTCATTAATAATATCACAGCAGGTAGCATTCATTGAGCACTTACTGCATGCCACTTGACTTAAATCAACTCGTTTAATCATCTCAACAATCCTAGGAAATGTATGTACTATTATTACCCCCATTTTACAGGTGAGGAAGTTGGGGCACAAAGAGGTGATGTTACTTACCCCAAAGGGAAAACTGGCATTCAGTCCCAAGAAGGTTGGCTCCATAGGTCACCTTTTTACTCGCCATATCATATAACTCACACAGGTTATAGCATCCTTCCATCCTCATTCCTGTATCTGAATGTACCATCATCTTCTTTATAAGGGACCAGTGGCGGGAAGCTAAATCCACCCCCAGCTCCCCCTGCAAGATCACCCACCACAGAGCTTTCAAGCAGGAGCCAGCAGGCCCCAGCCTGGACCCCGACCCAGCAGCTAGGAGGTCAGCTGAGAAATGGAAGCCTACACATCATGGGTAAGTGTAACCCACCATCTACAGGGCTTCCAATGAGGATGTGTTTTCCTCTGGCCTCTGGAGAGAGATTACCAGCCATGGAGTGAGCTGTCATTTCAAGGCGCATGCTTCTTGGTGAACGGAAAGCTCACTGTAGCACCGAGTAACCTTCAGGTTCTTTTAAATAGGGTTTCTCTCAAGGCTTCTGTGTGGTTCCAGTGCCCATTCTCCAGCCTTCTGTTTCAGATTACAGAGCTCTGCTTATGAGGAGAACAAATGACTTAAAAGTCAAGAACTCTTAATTATAGAGGGAGGAAGGCAAACATTTAAACTGTATGTATGTGTCTCTGTCTATCTCCAATGGAGAAACCAATTCATAAGGTGAAAGACTAGAGTAATTGGGATAAGGTGAAGGGACACATGGAACATCCACCAGGCAGGGAGACAATTAGCGCAAAAATATGGAGGTAGGAAGGAAAGTCAGCTGGGCTCAGACATGGTCACAAACTCTTTGGTCCGTTCTGTGTGCTGGGCTCCTGTCCGACACAAGATGCAGATCACAGAGCTACAAGCCCCCTCCCACCATCAGGAGCTCCAAGCAGAACCCATTGACTTTGGGGAGTCCAGGTCCATACCGGACACAGGCAGTGTTCTGTCTCACAGCCAAGACGAAGACTGCTGGTTCTGCTCCCTCCGCCTCCTCACGAAGCCTCCTCCAGTTCAGGGGGTGCTTCATGGTACTGGGACTTTGCAGTCTGGTTGTTGCTGCCAGACCCCCTGTCTTGAGTTCTGGGCCCTGGGGAGCCCTGTGCCACTGCTCCTTCAGGAAGTTAGCTTCCTTCAGACGTTGGTTGAAGTAAGTAAGTTGGTGATGGGATGTGACTGCTGATTTCACCTTTCCTGCCTCCCCTTGTCCTAGTTAACCAGTAAAAACTGAGGTGGATGGATGTCAAGGGCGGAATAGCCCTGCCACTAAAATCCTTGCATGGGGGATGGCAAACAAAAAAGCAGTGTATTCAGTCAGAGTCACCTGTGTGCGCCTGGAAATTACCAAAACTTGGGTCATCGCAGTAACCGGAATAAACTTTACTGTTTCCCGTGTCTGCAGACGACTTTGAGTCTAAATTCACGTTCCATTCTGTGGAAGACTTTCCTCCTCCAGATGAATATAAGCCATGCCAGAAGATTTACCCCAGCAAGATCCCCAGAAGTAAGTACCCCCTGGTAAGAACCCTAGTTTTTCCTGCCCCTCCAAAAGTAGATGCTGTCTGCATTGGTTGGCCTCAGGCTGTATAAAGGATGACCAGGCCATTGCACTGCACTGCTGTGAGGATAGAAGCTCTAGGGGCGCATCAGTTAAGCACTCGGCTGCTAACAACAGAAAGGTTGGCAGTTTGAACCCACCCAGCAGCTCTGCAGGAGAAAGGCCTGGAGATCTGCTTCTGTAAAGAACTGCCTATGGGGCAGTTCTACTCTGTCACATGGGATTGCTATGAGTCAGAATCAACTCCATGGCACCCAACAACAGATGTGAGGATGCCACCTCTCTTTTGGCACAGAAGAGTGAATAAAGGGTGCTGTTCATACTTCTGGAAGTTTCAGAACATTTATTTGTTCTGATCCCTAAGGCTCATGCAGAGGCTTTTACAGAACACCGGGGTTAACTGTTTGTGGTGGGATTTGGGTGCCGAATTTACCACGCTTCCCTACACACCCCGGGGCTTTTGAAGAGAGGGATAAACACCCCAAAGAGCAACAAAATGGGAAGCAGGAATGTTGCCTTAATAGCTGGGGAAGACCCTGAAAGCCCCCAGTTCAGAACTCTGGTGATCCACTCCAGTAAAGATTACAGCTTAGAGAACCCTGTGGGGCAGTTCTACGCTGTCATGTGGGATCTCTATGAGTCGAAATCGCCTCAACGACACCTACCAACAACAACCCTAAACCAAAGGTCAGCAAACGTTTTCTGTACAGGGCCAGATAGTAAATATTTTAGTCTTTGCAAGCCATATGGTCTCTGTTGCAGCTACTCAACTTTGCTGTTTTAATGTAAAAGTAGCAATCGATAATACATAAATGAAAGGGAATTGCTGTGTTCCAATAAAACTTTTGTTTACAAAAACAAGTGTGGGCTGGATTTGATATGTTGACTGTATTTTGCTGATCCTTGCCTTAAACCATCCCAGAAAAGCAGATTCTTAATAATCTTTATGTTATCCAGCCTTGCTTACTAATGTTCTACGAGGTCCTTCAACCTTCTGATTCAATACATTCTAACGTGAAATCGGAGCCCTAGTGGTGTAGTGGTTAAGAGCTTGGCTGCTAGCCAAAAGGTTGGTAGTTCAAATCCACCAGCCATTCCTTGGAAACCCTATGGAGCAGTTCTACTCTGTCCTATAGGGTCTCGATGAGTTGGAATTGACTCAACGGCAACAGGTTTGTTTAGGTTTTTTTTTTTTTTGGTTTTAATATGAAGTTGTTAGCTGTATTTTGAACTCATAGTTCCTGAGAATAGGAGAATAGCACTCTGGGAGGATGGTGCTATTGGCAGCCTGTGCTGTGTTCCTCCCCATCTCAGAGTAATGTTCAAATTGGTACCCTCACCAAAAATAATCTGGCATTCAGGAAGGAGCAATTAAATAAATAAAATTTTTTTAAAAAGTCTATTAAATGAACTGACATCCTGCAGACTAGAAAGGGCATTTGTAATTTCGGAATTAAGATACTGTTTTAGATTGACGTGGCATGGGTGGACATGAAATGCTTCAATAATCTACTAGCAAAATTAAATTATCCTGTTCCTGTCATCCTGGTCCTTGTTAATGATATTAATGTGAGTCTGATGTGGGTTGTGCCCGTCTGATTTACATTTCTCCTTACAGTTTTCTCTTGCTTACTGTTGACCTGATTCCCCAAAATGATAGTTCTTCATGGTCTGGGAGACAGTATTGGTTCTTTCAGATGAGTGTGTTCTCCAAGGCTTTGAACCGGTTCTTGGCCGAGGAAGTGAAACTGGAACAGACTCAAATTTTTAAAATTTGAGTGAACTGGAATAATAACTGAAATGGGAAAAATTGTAAGTTGAAGTCCTGCTAGGAACCTAATCTCCCTCTTAGAAAACAAGGGCAGCATACATGTTGCATAGCAACCAAATCTCTTGCCCACTGCATTTTGAGCAGAGTCAGAAACAGGGGTGTCCTGGTCAAAGATGGCGGCCAACTGCACCACTTTGAATGCGTGTAGCTCTCCACAGTCCTGCCAATAATCCAATCTCATGCATCAGATTCCTGAAAGGGCTCACTTGGCCTCCTCCGAGTCTCCCATTCCAGGGCTTTGACCCATAATTTTCCCCATTCCGGTTATCATTCTGGATCACCCAAATTGTAAACATTCGGGTCTGTTCTGGTATCACTTCATTGGCAGACCGCCACATCTTTCTCCAATGGAGCGGCTGGTGGGTTCAAACCACCGACCCTTCAGTTAGCAGCTGAGCACTTAACCATTTAACGTGAGCACTTAAATGATTTGTGTATATATGTGGAGAGAGGAGAAGAAGTTGACCAAATAAAGAGAAGAGAGATGTGGCAGTCTGCTTCCGTAAAGATTTACAGCCTTGGAATCCCTGTGGGGCAGTTCTGCTCTGTCCCGTAGGGTTGCTATGAGTCGGAATTGATCCAATGGAAACGGGTTTTAGGCCACCCAGTTTGTGGTACTTTGTTCTAGCAGTTCTGGGAAACTGATGCAACCAGCTTTGCCACCAGTTGTGACTGGGCAGGTCACTTTGGCCTCAGTTTCTTCGGCTGTCCATGAAGCAGCTGGACTGGATGACCTCAAAGGAACTTTCTTGTTCTAACATTGGAGGCTTCTCATAGTCTCCAAGTAAAGTAAATGACAGGTTGCATAGGTGTCTTAGTTATCTAGTGCTGCTATAACAGAAATACCACACTTGGATGGCTTTAACAAACAGAAATTTATTCTCTCACAGTCTAGGATGCTCCTTTGGGTGGCTTAAAACAGCAGAAATTTATTTTCTCATGGTTCCGGAGGCTAGAAGTCTGGATTCAGGGTGTCAGCAGGTCCATGCTGTTTCCGAAGGATCTAGGGGAAGATCTTTCCTTGTCTACTCCAGTTTTTGGCAGCCCCAGGCATTCCTTGGTTTGTGGCAGCGTAACTCCAGTCTCTGCCTCAGTCTTCACATGGCCATCTTCCCTCTGTGTCTTTGTGTCTCTTCTTATAAGGATACCAGTCACTGGATTTAGGGCCCACCCTAATCCAGTATGACCTCACCTTGATCCTTAACTAAGTACATCTGCAAAGATCCTATTTCCAAACAAGGTCATGTTCATAGGTACCGGGGAATATCTTTTGAGAGGATGTAATTCAATCCGTAACGTGGGCTAAAGTCCAGGTTCTTCGCTCCACATGCTGTGCTCTTTGCACCACACCTTGCTGCCTCTTCATTCTATGCCATGGTGGACTGTAGCTTGGAGAGACTGTGTTGGCCCAGAGTGGTCCAGAGCTGACAATCATGTCTGCTCCTCACGGGAGTCCACCTGTCTCCTGACCCACTTCCCAGCCCCAGGAATGGCACTCGGAGGCTGGTGGGAGCTCTGGGGAGGTTCTCAAAGACACCCAGCTTTAATGGCAAGCCAAGTTTGTAAATCCTTTGTGGACATTCACCAAGTCCTACTCATTCTCTTATTGGTTGGCTATAAAATCGATATCCCTGTGCTGGGGGAAAAGTACAAGGCTTGTTTGCTTTACAGCTTGTATTGTATTTAAACATAAAATTTTTTAGAGAATGAGTTAGATCCTTGTGGAACAGAAGCCTGAGTTCTGTCAGCAGCTCCTTTTACTCCTTTTATAACCATCCTTAGCACAGTACTTGGCACACTGGGAGTACTGGACAAATGAGCACGTTAGGAGATGGTGGTAAATTTTGAATTAAAAAGCACTAATATGTATTTGAGGGGCCCTAGTGGCTCAGTGGTTAAGTGCTCAGCTGCTATCCCAAAAGTTGGTGGGAGAAAGATGTGTCAGTCTGCTTCTATAAACATTACAATCTTGAAACCCAATGGGGCATTTCTGTTTTGTGCTATAGGGTTGCTATAGTTGGAATTGACTTGACGGCAGTAGTTTTTGTTTTGTTTTGTTTTTTTTAATATGCATTTAGATGATAAAACCAGTTGCTGTCAAGTCAGTTGTGACCCAGTGATGACCCCATGTGTGTCAGAGTAGAACTGTGCTCCATAGGGTTTTCAGTGGCTAATTTTTCAGAAATAGATCACCAGGCCTTTCTTCTGAGGCACCTCTGGGAAGACTCAAACCTCCAGCCTATCAGTAGCCGAGCACATTAACCATCTGCACCACCCAAGGACTCCATTTAGATGTTGTTGTTGTTAGGTGCCATCGAGTCTGTTCCGACACATAGCCACCCTTTGTAAAACAGAATGAAACACTGCCCGGTCCTGCACCATCCTCATTTAAATGATTAAAAAAACCCATTGCCATCGAGTCAATTTTGACTCATAAATGATAGGCCTTAATAATTTGTTCTACTCACAGCATATTAGGCATGGTGCCTCTGTATCCATACCTCTGTGACATAGAAGACAGCGAGCTGGAAACACACAGTCTAGGGCAAGGAGCCCAGAGGTTTCAGGTTGATGGTCGCCTGTTACCTCTCGTTCCTTTGCTGTTGCTTTAAGTGCTAGCTTAGCTAAAGTTCCTTTGTTAAGACGTACACCCAGTCCCTGGGCTAATAGATGGTAAGATTGTTCCTGTTTCTTTCAGGCCGTACACCTGGTCCCTGGCTCCATGCCGAGGCGGCTGGGCAGAGCTCTGATGACATCAAAGGCAGAAATTCTCAGGTAACATGTCTCTCAGGTCTCCGAATGTAAAACCAGGAATTCTCCTCTGGGAGCACAGATATATGGAGAATATGTTTTCTCCTTAGCAGCTTAATTTTTTTCCTCAGGCTCCTTTTCCTCAAGAAAAGTTATTTTGTGTACCTTTGTTTTAAGCTGGAATGAAACACCTACAATTTTAAAATCTGAAGGGTGAAATGGGGCTTCCCTTTAATCTCCACCACATACAGAAGCAGAACTCCTTTAGAATCATTCTGCAAAATTCACCCCCTTTACTCCCCATTTCTTCACTGGTCATGATGGCTCAAGGAGCCTAAGAGAAAAACGCTGTAACATTTATGAAACATATTGCAGTGTTCTCTCTCATCTACAGAATACATGATTTTCTTCAGCACCCTTAGGGTTTTGATTTTATTTCCGTAAAGTATATATAACAAATCATTTGCTGTTTTTAGCCATTTTAAGTGTACAGTTCAGTGACATTAATTACATTCACCATATAGTGCAACCATCACCACTATCCATTTCAAAGGCTTTCATATCACCCCAAACAGAAGCTCAATATCCCTTAAGCAATATCTTCCCATTGCCCGTCCCACCCACCCTGGAAATCACTGACAAACTTTGGTCTCTATATACTTGCCGCTTCTAGGTAGTTCATATAAGTGGGATCATACAGTATTTGTCCTTTTGTGTCTGACTTATTTCATTCAGCATAATATTTTCAAGGTAGCATATATCAGAACTTTATTTTCATTATGACTGAATAATATTCCATTGTAATTATATACCACATTTTGTTTATCTGTTCATCTGTTGATGGACACCTGAGTTGTTTCCACCTTTTGGCTATTGTGAATAATACTGCACTAAACGTTAGTATACACGTATCTTTTTTAGTCCCTGCTTTTAAGTCTTTTGGGTATATACCAAGGAGTGGAATTGCTAGGTCATATGGTAATTCTGTGTTTAGTTTTTTGAGGAACTGTCAAATTGTTTTCCACAGTGACTGCAGCATTTTACATTCCCTTGGGATTTTTGTCCCCATCAATATTTATTTATAATTTGTTTTGGCCAAATTAATTGAAATTTATCCAAGTCCTGATGGCTAGAGAAAAGTGACAAAGCTAGCTAGAAGGAAACTAGATAGGGGCTTGTGTGGTAAGACGGCCTTTGAAGAAATGTCAAGAAATGCCTTCACTCTCACCCAAGGCCATGTGGTCAGAGTGTTCCCTAACTCAGGCAGAGATGACATTTCTCACTGCACACAATGGGGCTCATCTTTAAAGGCCCTTTGTTTCTTTGAAACACGCATTCTGTCCTAACATGGCCTCCTCCTGTTTTAGAGTTTAATGTGACAGACAGACAGGGTGGCCAGCTATTAATTTGGGCCCCCTGGCAGCTGTATCAAACCTGGAGGAACATGGCCTGAGAAGGAAGGGACTGGAGGCTCCATAAGCCAGGCAGGGTTCCTTGGAGGAGGAGGAAGCACTTCCTCTAGCGGACATGTACTCACCTTTTCTCACCACTGGAGCCCAAGAATTGCAGTAATCATTCTCAGACGTTGACAGGTTCAAAACTGGGTGTGCAAGCATACTTATGGGAAAAGTTTATATGCATAGGACAGAAGACAACAGGAAGAATATACACAAAATTGTTAACGGGCATCCATTCTGGAAGATTATGGCTGATTTTTACTTTGTTCCTAGTGCACTGTAATTTTCAAAGTTTCTACAATTCAATACCCTACTGCTGTGGTCAGAAAACATAGTAATAATCATAATCATAGTCCCCTACATTTACATGGCTCCTTATATTTTTCAGATAGCTTGCATATGTTATGTCATTTGATTCTTTTAATAGCCCTTGATAGGAGCTCAAGAGATAGCTTGAATGCCATTTTAGAAAAGAGAAAATCGAGCCCCAAGGGGCTAAAGAATGTGCCCAAGGTCACATGCCCAGACCTTCTGACTCCTTGTCCAGTGCTCCTTCCACTAGACCTCACTGCTTTTCCTGCATGGTAGAATCACCAGAGACGAGAGGCATCCTCATCACCAACCATGACAAGCTTGTGTTGGCCATGGTTCAGGATCTGGTCCCCAGCATCATGGCAGGCACACACCTGAGTCACCTGAGACTGAAGGAATAATTCATTCATTTTCACTTCAGTGAGACAAAAGCAGTCACCCAGAGACATCACTAGTTTCTTCTCAAAGTAAACAATGCCCCAAGGGATGCTCTCTTCTTTTATGGATATAAACCCAACTGATCTGTGTATGGGTGGGAACTTCGGGCTGGAAATCTGAAGTTGTGTGTCCCATTCTCTCTTTTCCATTGCCTTGTCTTGGAATCTCCAGCAAGTTCTTTTTTTTTTTTTTTTAATTTTGTTGTGTTTTAGATGAAAGTTTACAGTGCAAATTAGTTTCTCATTCAAAAATTTATACACAAATTGTTCTGTAATGTTGGTTGCAATGTGTCACACTCTCCCCCTTTCCCTCTCTACCCCCGGTTCTCTGTGTCCATTCATCCAGCTTTTCTGTCCCTTTCTGCCTCCTCAACTTTGCTTTTGGGCGTGTGTTGCCCATTTGGTCTCATATACTTGATTGAACTAAGAAACACGTTCTTCATGTGTGTTGTTGTTTGTTTTATAGGCCTGTCTAATCTTTGGCTGAAAGGTAGACTTCAGGAGTGGCTTCAGTTCTGAGTTAGCAGGATGGATGGCTGAACCTTGAAAACATGCTAAGGGAAATAAGTCAGTCACTAAAAAGACAAATATTGTATGACTTTATATGAAATAAGCAAATATATAGAAGCCAAAGCTTGTTAGTGGTTACCAGGGGTGGGAGGGAGGGGAGAACGGCAGTCTTTGCATAGGCGGCACTGAGTTTCTATTAATGGTGGTGGAATAATTTGGCAATGAATAGTGGTGATGGTTGCAGAACACGATGAACGTAACCAATGTCACTGAATTGTATGTGTAAAGAATTGTTAAATTGGCAAATGTTTTGTTATGTATATTGTTATGACAGTAAAACAATTAAAAATATATAGTATTAGGTCCCCACATGACATCAACTATATGCCGCATTTTACCCCTTTGCCGCCCATGACCCTTTGGGTAAACGTCAGCTCCATGCATACGATGGGACCATCTTCCGGCCCCTGCAGCCTTGCATTCATGAGGGAAGGCGGCGGTGCCCAGTCCTGAGGTGGGTCCTGTGTGTGCAGCGACTCTGCCAACCTCACGCAGTCATCTCTGTTATGTTCCCACAGTTACCTCTAAAGACACTTCGGTGAGAAGACGGACGAGGCCAAGGTCCTTGGAGCCCCCAGGGGCTCCACATCACAGGAAGGGCACCCCACCTCAGTCAAGTTGTATTTCAGTTGACATACACGCTCTGCATGGAGCATTTATTTATTGTAAATAGGTGGTTTTCACAGGCTTTAAATTAGTATTGTAGTCAACTCTGATTTACATAATTGAAAAACAAAAACAACTTTTCTCCATTTTTTAAAATGCACCTGGCATTTGTCTGTCAGTACAGATAGAGCCCTGTCCCCATCCCTTAGCGTCCATTCCACGACTGTACATATGCGTGCAGGCTGGCCCTCCCTAGATTCTGAAGCATTTTTAGAAGAGTCTTTCGTTTTCGGGTCGTCCCCACACTGTGGTATCCACAATGACTTCTTATTGGCATGGTTTTATATTCTCATTGCACCAACTGCAAAATCAAACCAAATAATGCCTTATAACTGCTGCAACTCAGAGAAATCACGTTTCCCCCACACCCCGATGACGCTGCCACACAGCCTCCAATGACGAGACATCCCGTCTCACTCCTGTTTCACAGTGCAGGGATTTTTTTGCTGCCTAGTGTAAATATAACACAAAATAAAGGCAAGAGGGGGCCTGGTCCCTCCGATGCTGACCCCAGGGTCCCTTCTGTAACCCAATGATCGTACAAGTAGCCAATAATGTTACTGTTTACAGTCCCCTTGTGCCCAAGCCTCCGTGACTTTCCTCCTATCTCCTCTAAGCTCCTAGCCCTGTCCCGGTAGCCAGGGTGAGGGGGTCTTTATGATATTTCATTATTTTCCCCGCAGGTTAGAAACATAAGCAACTCATAGTAAATTACTAATTCTAGCTCAGAGGTCTTTTTTTTTTTCCCGAGTGCAAGATTTGCGTGGAAAATATGATACGAAAAAGTGAAGACCGAAAGGTGTGGTGAAACAGCTGCCTCAAATACCTGGTGCCCCACCCCCATTTGGGAAACTTGGAACAACCCGTCAGGCAGACCACAGCTCCCTTCTAAGCGAAGGAGAATGGAATTGGGGAATTGGCCTGGCAGCTTCCCTGTTCCCTGTTGGCAGGCAACTCTGTGTGGGGAGAGATGTGTCTGAGGCCAGCCCGCCCCTGAATATGGAAAGGGGCAAGATGGGCTATGATTTCTCCTCTCACATCTTTTTCTTGGCCTGGCAAGGGAATGGAAGTGTGTTTTTGCTTGCTGCCAGGCCACGAATGCTTCCTTGGTTGGAAAAGCTGGGACAGAGGAAGGAGAGAAAACTAGAAGGGTACAGATTGATCCCTGGGTTGTGCTCAGAATAGCTGCAGATTAAAGGAAATCAGGGAGAGGAGGGGACGGACGAGCAGTGAAAAAATAAGTTTGCATTGGAACAGCTCACACCTTAAAGATACTGCGCCCAGACCAAGCCATCCAGAAAAGGTAGACATTTAGGCAAGTTTTGGCAAACGGGATTGCAGAAACCTAGCTGTTGTGTCTGGCTTCCCTTATCATTGTTATGCTTTCACTGCATTCTCACTCCAGGGGGAAGCAGTGGAGCAGGGTTCAGTTCCCATCCCTGGGGTATCAATCATGCCAAGTTCTAACAGCTAAATCAATGGAAAAGCAGCTTTTGTAGATCATCAACTCTGGACATAGATGATTTGTTTTATTGGTTCTGGAAGGTTTCCAAAAGGTCAGAATTTCTTTATTATTATCCACTTTGCCTCCTTCCCAATTGGATAACATAATTATAAAAATTTTAATTATCATGATTAAGAAGGCCCTTGACAAAGGCAATTCCACCTTCATAGCAGACTGCCTGTCCTGATGAGGTATTGATACATTCATGTTCCGCACTGCTGGGATGGAAATTAAAAAGAAAATTGTTCAAGGACAGAGGAAGGAAAGAGCAGGAAACCAAAAATCACAATGAGGGAGAAATCTCAGGAATCTGGCATCACATCTCTTCTAGAGACCTATCACTGAACTCACGGCCCTTGCAGCTCATGTCCGCTGCACCCTGTTCCAGCAGTATCACGGTTTAGCCCCTTGACCATAAGCCCAGATGTAGAGGCATTCAGCCATCCCCACATATTCCCACCGACATTGTAGCCTGTGACCACCCCCCCCACCCCGTCTCACATGTATTTTATATTTATTGATGTTTATCTCTGCAGGTTCATTTCTTTGTACGTAATAAACTTTAATAAGTGGAAATGTATCTGGCTGCTTCATTGTCAGACCCATCAGTGGGAGCCAGTACCAGCCTAAGCTGAGCCTTAGGAGGGATGAGGAGGGCTTCTAGGAATAGCAGAGCAGAAGGGATGTTTACACAGGACCCAGCACTTACTGTAACATAACTGTGTTTTGCAATGAGGTCTTTCATTTTAGAGCCAACCTTTCTGACTAAGCTACAGAATATTTTCCTGGTTTTTGTCATTTACTAATCTTCTGAGCCGGAATGCTCCCTAGAAGCGAGGATGGTGAGACTTCGTCTTACGTACTTTGGACATGCTATCAGGAGGGACCAGTCCTTGGAGAAGGATGTCATGCTTGGTAGAGGGTCAGTGAAAAAGAGGAAGACCCTCAATGAGATGGATTGACACAGTGGCTGCAACAATAGGTTCAAACATAACAATAGTGAGGAAGGCACAGGACCAGGCAGTGTTTTGTTCTGTGGTACACAGGGTCGCTCTGAGTCACAACCGACTTGACAGCGCCTAACAACAACACCACTCTTCTGGGTATTTGGAAAAACCAAGGAAGGGAAAGAAAACTTTCTTAAATGCATTAAATAAGTAGATAATACTGTATGTACTTGGTTTTGTTAATATAGAGTGGGAGAGTATTGTTTGTGAATTCCTCTAACTTGTGTTAAAATGGAGTAACTTTCAACCTAAGGTGCACTTGAGCCCTTCCCCAACCTTAGCAAGTCCATCAAAACAGCCTCCTATGTGAAGCAGGATCTGGGTCTCGGTAATACTATTTTCAGGTCCACTGTTTAGAACATGGTATAGGGGAAATGAGGTTTATCTGCTAGGTGAGCAGGCTAAGGATTAGGACTTGGGAGGCAAACATGGACCTCAGTTTTGCCTTTTAAAGGTTTAGGAAAATACTTAAAAGTGCCTGTTTCCTCAACTGTAAAATGGGGACAAAAATACTTACCTGTGCATGTGGTTGTGAAAATTCAGTGACCTAACACATAGAAAGCCTAAGCCCTTGAGTAGGACATACAACAGACCCCGGTCTCAGCATGCCTCACACTCTGGGGAGCACGCCCCACACTCGGGACCAGCCAGTATGCTTATTACATGCTCAGTCACAAGCAGGCTCTGCTGGCTGCAGCTGGCCAGCCCATTTAGATGTTTGGTGAGCTGCTCAGACCACACTCCACCAGCTCTGCTGCTGGATAACAAGGAGAGAGCAGTAATTAAAATTCATAGCTGTTCCTGAAATAAATCTCATCCAGAAATTAATTTCATGTCTAGTTACTACGCACTTTGCATCAAAGTTAGTTAAAGGGCTGAAATGTTTTATCTGCTGTCCTTTATTGGTGGAAGAGCAGATAAGCTCTTTAATGACCAAAAGGGCCAGTCCATGTGGGGAAGAAAAGCAACGACCCAAGATAATCTACAGAGTGGATAGTAAGTTCCAAAGCCACTGACTGTTGAGGTGGTGAAGTTTTTAAGCACCCCTTGTGGAGTTACGAGTCCTTGGGTCGTGCAAACTATTAATGCACTCGGCTGCTAACTGAAAGGCTAGAGGCTCAAGTCCACCCAGAGGCACCTTGGAAGCCCGGGTGATCTACTTTAAAGTCAGCCATTGAAAACCGTATGGAGCACAATTCTACTCTGACACTCGTGTGGCAATGACTTGGAGTCAACGGCAACTGGCTTTTTGTCCATTTGTTTTTTATGAAGTTAAGTGTGAAAGAGGTGGTGCCTTGACAGGTGAGGGGATCAACTTAAAGGGAAGGGTGGTGGACTCCAGAAGCAAGTTCCACATTCTCTGGCCATGCCCCAGGAAGCTGCGGCACCCTCCATGAACCCAGTGTGTCACCTTGGAGCTTTGCAGGAGTGTATCGTGTTTATGAAAACATTTGAAATAGCAGGTCCTTGTTGTGTAAATAAAGTGGTCATCCACTCTGACCTTGACAGAGCCAGGTCTCTTGTTGCAGGTGACTAAGTCTTATTTCCATGAGTAAGACATTCAGTTGCATTTTGCCTGTCACAGTGGAGATGGAATCACGGAAGTGGTTTGGCATTTGTAATCACAAGGGTGGAAAGAGCTGGCTTTTTCCTTAAGAGGCAGCCTCTCCTGTTTGCGGGCTCGCATAGCTTCAGAATAAAGATGCTTTGCATAGATGGTCCCAACCATTCATATGATCTGGACGTCTGACTCCAGGAATCCTGGAATCAGTATGGTTGGTTTAATTTTTCAAAAGTGGATTTATCCACAGAAGGGTATAAAATGCAGGAAACTGCGGAACTGATTTTGACCGAGAGGGCTGGGTGTTTGGGTTTCCTGAAGATTCCAGTCAGAAAAACATGCCCCTTTTCATGCAATTTATATGTGTGACTGATAACCCACATTTATTCACGAAACACAAGACAGAAAAGGCCACTGGACATTAATGTCAGCATTTTTTTATTGTACGCTTGATGCATTTAGAGACAATTCCAAGGGCAAGCACTGGGTGGGAAAGTTATCTGGTTTGTAGATATTGGTACAAAAGACTGTTAAGACGACACATTCAGTTCCCCCTGCAGGAAACAGAGATTCCTTTTTTATTTTTCCCTGCAAACAGTGTTTCCCAGCTAACACATTTAAATTCTCACAACATAATTGTAAACAGGTACATACCTGTTCCCACAAGAAATCTCCATATGACATTTGGAGATGTTTGGAGTCAGTCAGATAAAGCACGTTTTGACACACAAACCATAGGAAGGGAGCTGGCACTCTGGACTGTGTGAAAGGAAATGCAATGGCCATGTGGGTGTGACGCACTGCTCCTTCTCCCACTCCATACATGGATGGCCAGCTAGAAGGGTTTCCCTCCTTCCCTCCCTCCCTCCTCCACGTGTCCATGTGCTTCCTCCCTAAAGCTGACAACTCAGTTGGAGACCTTCCCTGATAAAGGACAGATGGATCTTTAGTCAAGAATGAAGTTAGTGGTTTCATAACAGACACACTGGCCCCACCTGGCTTCCCTCCTGGGCCAACCAGTGCTATATAACACCTGTTCCATTGTGGGATGTCATCGTTAGGAAGCAAAGTAATTTACCTCATTGGTAATTATTTTTTAAACCTAATGATTCACCCAATAGGAAAGAACTTCACTGCTAAGATCTAATAGGAATACACTTGCTCTGTTAGACAGCTTGTAGGATAGATTCCTTCAAATAATACTACTGTGTCTTATGTTACTGATCACTACAGAATCACCATAATTTTGGTTACATCCTTAGTCTAACTAAAGTTCCAAACCAACTCCAAGAAGGAAGAATTCCTACTTCTGCTTTTCTCATTTACTGGTGCCTCCACCCTCCTTGAATTATGAGGGCTGCCTTTGCCCATGGAAAGCCCATCTACTAGACAAGACTGAACTAGCTAGCTTATGTTTGGTTCTGGGGGTGGGGCGGGGCATGCACAGGCACCCCCCCCACCCCAAATCTTAAGAGATACACAAATGGTATTCTATGATGCTATTTACACACTGTGACCTTAAACATTATTTTTGATATATCATCTTGAATATTCATTTTCCCCACTTCCTTTAGAAAAGCAATCCCTGGTCAAGAAATGATCCATGTAATGAGAAGCATTTTCAAAAAAAAAGTCTGTTAGAGCATTTACAAACATTCCACCAACAACAGCCTGCTCAAAATCCAACATATTTCAAGTGGTTAAGAGCTTGGCTGCTAACCAAAAGGTCAGCAGTTTGAATACACCAGCCGCTCCCTGGAAATTCTATGGGGCAGTTCTACTCTGTCCTATAGAGTTGGAATCAACTTGACAACAATGGGTAATATAATTTAGGTAAAAGTAAGTACAGCAGCACCAGAAGCTCTTTTGTTCTCATTTCCACCCACCCAAGCTAATACACGAAGAATCTGTCCATTACTATCATTTGGTTTTTGTCTCTACATAGACCACCTACATGCTTGATGGGAGCAACTGTGCCCGGTTTCACTTCGGCCAGGCTATGCCAGGGAGGACTGCCCTCCTCTGGTGAGCTAGGGACACCACGATGGTGAGGTACAACCAGTTGCAATTGAGTCTACTTCGATCATAGCGACTCCATGTGTGTCAGAGTAGAACTGTGCTCCATAGGGTTTTCAATGGCTGATTTTTGGGGGAGCAGGTTGCCAGGCCTTTTTTCCGAGTCTGTCTGCACCACCCAGGGGCTCCTGGCGATGTACAGCATTAGTCAAAACAGCCTCCTATTAGGATTGCTGGCTCTTCTCTGCAGTGCTTGACTAAGGTCTGTGTCCCCTAACGGAGCCTTCGTGTTTCCTACTGCATGGCTGGGTAATGGTCTAAGGCTGGCAGGGTTATCTGTGACCTCTGTTTGGCTCAGAGTAATGAAAAGCAGCCCTCCCTGTAATTTATTCTTATCAGACTTCTTTTGATCAAACCTCAAATCACCTTTGGTGTCTCAGACACGTCAGGTCTGATGAAATGTTTCCAGAACAAGTGAAAGTGAGACCGCATGGTGAAATGCATCATCTTGCTTTCAAAAACCACTGTCACTGCAGCCTCATGCCCCATCTTCAGGTGGACTTGGAGGAGATGAAGCACCTATGTCATCTTTGAACCTTACCCTCCTGCTTACCAGCTATAGTCAGATGCTCTCAGAATGGCCTAGGCCAATGCTGCACAAAACTCTACAAGCTACCATCACTGGTTACCATTAACGTTTTAAGCGGAAACATTCTTCCCATCTCTCACTATTTGCAGTTAATGTTTCACATACAAAATTTACAAAACTACTAGGCAAGAAGCTCCTGGCACTCTTATATCCATGCTCTTAATGGCGAGATGGTAGAAAGACTGGTTCTAGCAAAACCTCTGAACTTCAGTGTCCCCATCTGCACAATAAGAGCCCCAGTCCTTCCAGCTCTAGTGGCCTTCACTGAGGCTGAGGTGGAGTTATTAACTCTAAGTCACTTTGGAGGCTACTGCTACAGTACTTCCATGTGGAAGTTCTTACCAAGAATGATGAGGCTGGTTAGGCCCAAAAGATACAGGTGAAGCTGGGGGTCATTAAGCCACTGTTTTCCCACTAGCTGCTGTATGAACATACATTTCTAACCCCCTGCCCCATTTCCACTGCATTTTGAGGGTTTCGGTAGATAGAAGCCCCCCACTACCATCCACCCACTTCAGCTACCAGTCTGAAGGCAACTCCTGGGTGTGGAGGAATAAGGGGAAGGCCCAGGAGAAGTCAGTTGCTTCTTATGCAGCTTTGTGGGATATAACAGTCTGGGTGGGAAGGCAAGTGTTGGACTGTTATCCTGCAGCGAAGTGCTTCTACATCCACCTGTTGCCTTCTTGCCCTCTGTCTTCCCACTGCTGAGCCCATTTGGTCTTCCTCACACACTTCTATGCTCTGATGGAAGCCAAATCCTTTACGTGACCACTACGCTGGAAACAAATCGTTTAATTAAAGTCTCTCTGCCGAGATAATGTAGCGACTCCCCGGCTTCCAGCTACTTTAACAGCAAACTAGACAGTCAAGAGTTTCTCCTTTTCTCTCCCTCATTAGCTAAGAAATTTGTTGCTTTGCGGGGTGAAACTATCCCCCAGGGCGATTTAATTAATCCTAGACTAGAAGTTTCGTAATTCGGCCTGGAATTGTTTCTGCACAAGGCCCAGTCCATGTGGCAGGTGTGTGCTGTAGCAGGAGCGCAGCCGTACCTTTGAGAGATCCATGTGGTGACTCGGGGAAGTCACCAGCACGGCTGCCTCTGCATCACTAAAATGGGTAGTAGGTTCCAGCTAGCACGGAAGCCCAGTTCTCTGCCCACCCTAAGTAGCTCTGTAGGTCTAGCACACAAAAGCACAGGGCATGGAAGACAGGTTCTTCAGGATCATGGAAACTGGGATCTAGCTGGGAATGGAGAGGAGCCCCTTTTGTCCTTTTCTCTTAGTTCTGTCCCTCAGAGGACCCATATGGAGACATTATGCACTTCAGGCATGCACTCAGGTGAAGGGAAGCCAGTGAGGTTCTCCCTGAACCATGCACACAAGAACTCTGGACCAGCAAAGAAATGCCTTTTGCTAACCTAGAAAAAAAGTTGTGACTGAGAGAAAAAGTAAGACTTTAAAACATTTTGCTTTTCCTGCAAACTCAACACTGTGGGGACTGTCTTTCAAGGCTTGATGACCTCCAGTCCTCTTGTGAAAAGGCTAATGTGTCCATTGTCACTGGAATACAATAATAGCAGCTTAAAATCCACAATTAGTCACACAACCAAACAACAGGCTAATGGGGTACATGTTCCATTGCAGAGGAAGGGGACAGACATTGCAGAAGAAGGGGGTGTTTTGAGATTCAAGGCAGAACACAACTTCACAGTTCGATTTGGCTTCAGAAAAAGAGACCACATCTTAACTTTCTCATTTTACTCAAACAGGAGAGTGGTTTGTCTTGCTGGTAATTTAGTAAGGTGGGAAGTTTTAAATAAGAAGAGGAAAGAGAATGCTTACTTCACTTAAAGAACTTAATCTCCGTGTCAACACAGTCATAGAAAAGGTCCCCTACTTCGGCGGGGTCCAGAGGGTCAGAGCTGGTCAGGATTTCTTCCATGGCTTCCAGGCCTTGTTTCTCTAGTTCCAGCATGGTCTTCCTCAGCTTTCGACCTTGCTCCTGTGGAAAACATAGCCACTTTACAGCTCATCAGAGCAGTGGGCCTGGGAGGAGAAGGGGTGGGAGGGAGATTAGGGAGGAAGGGGAGAAAGGGTAGGAAGGAGGAGAATTGCAATAGACAAGAAAGCCTCCCCGGGGTCCTGCTGGCTTCCTGCCCACATTGCTGCCCACTCCCTTCAATCTGTTTCCCACATCACTGTCACAGGGATCATTCTAGAATGCCAATGTGGTTACGTCACTGCCCTGCTCAGAATACTTGAACAGCTCCCTACTGCCTGCAGGATAAGACCCAGACTCCTGAGTGGCATTCACACATACAAGGCTCTCGCTTGCCTCACCTTTTACCATGGCCCTCTCGTCTCCCTTCTCTTCAGCCAGATTGAAGTGACTGCATTCCTTCAACCCAAGATACTCTTTCTCGCCACTCCACAGGCCACCCTGCTCTCTGGAGCACCGTTCTCTCCTTCAACACTTGGTCAACTTGCATCCACTCTTTAAGCTTCTTTGGAAAGTGTTTCCTGACCCCTAACCCCAAGCCATTAGGGGCCCCACTCTGGGCTCCCACAGCACAATGCCATAGTCATTATCTTCCTGTCTTGTAGTGGTTTGCCTACTTGGCTGTGTCCCCCATAGACCATGATCTGCTGGGACACGAGAACTAGGCTTATCTCAGTTCTCCAAGACTGGGACATAGGAGGCAGTTTCCATAAATGTTTGTTGAATGAGTAGACAGACCAATGAGTAAACACATGCTATGTCTATCACCTGTTCACTCTTTTTCTAAAGCAGTGAGACCTCTTCCAGTGGGAATCATTCATTTACAGTGAATGATCATGGAAAGCTCTCGTTTGCCCAATTAGTCCCAGAACTGAGAAGCTGCTCTCACCACCCATCCACCACTTCCTAGGGCTGCCTCAACTCAAACTAATGGTGATCTTTAATTTTGAAAACTCAGATGACCTCCTCAGTCTCATCTCTGAAATTTTATGTAGACTAGCCCAGAACACATTACTCTTTCTAATCCTGTCTTCTAATTGCCAAATAGTCACAGAACCACACACCAGAGAGTGACATTTTTAGTCTACTTGGGCTTACTGTCACCTGCCTACAGAATAAGCACTGTCAGGAACTAATTCAGACAGCCCTAGAGAAAACCAAGTTCAGTGCAGCAGCTGCACTGATGGTGCCAGGGAAGTGTTTGGCAAGGGGGACAGATGTTGAATGTTAAATAACGATGTGACTTTTACATGTCGAAGTCGTCATTTCTGTGGAATAAAAAAGCAAATTCTATGAAAACCAACACTGATTTTCTCAGAGACACTTTCTGAATTCATTTGGATTTACTGCTGATGTTGTCCTTTTTAATTCTTTTTACACCCTTTTTACGTCCACGATGCTGAATACAAGGAAATAAGCTCACTCAGTCTGCACAGAATGTATGCACCAGTTTACCTAAAACATGTTCCCTTTCTTCAGAGCAAATTGGACCTATTACAAATTGTTAAATGGATGCCTGAGGAAACAGAGGAGCTTCTGACAATCATGTGCCTTCTTCCTGCCTTCAGCAAAACACTGTTAGTACAGGCTTGGATTTTATATGAAAATCTGTGAGTGCTGTGGACATGTATTTGGTACTGAGGAACATATATGGGGTGTTTTTCTCATTTGAATTGACGTCTTATAACTCGATTAACCAAAAAGTTGCATTTTAAAGAACGACTTTTTTAAAACAACATATTGCCAACAGAACATCTTTCTACATGTTTTCAGACGGCAGAAGAGCAGTTATCCTCACTAGAACTCCATATTTCTAATATGCCTAAGTAAACAGTAACTGAAAGAGGGATATTCTTACCCCACCGCACTCTAGGATAAACATCAAAAGTGGATGCTTTGTTTTATTTGGTTTCAAGAGCCTGGGTAGGAAAATTAACACCAGCATTCTAGGAAGGGGCTCGGGGAACCTGGATTTCTGGGAGAAATTGGACATGCTGGAAAGGAAAAGGATGACGTATGTTAACTGAGGCCCTGCTGCCTCCTGGCCAACCCCGCCCACCCTCCACGGCCCTGCCCAAGCCTTACCTGGTCACTTTCAATGACAGCACGGGCCCACTCGTGGGCCTTGTACAGCTCGTGCCGGCGATCTGGCTTCTCCTGGAATCGAGGCTCCTTTTTGGCAGGGTCATCGTCCCCAAAACTGGGAGACTGTGTTTTGGGGACAAGTTTTACATCATCAACAAAGATGAAAGGCTTGAATATGGACCTGTAAAGAAAGGAGAAGGGCATTTAGCCAGACCGAGTTTGGGGCTTGGAAACACCCAAAGATTGTCCTTTCATTCAGCAATCGTTTCCTGAGCCAATGTGAGGTGTGTGCAGAGGTGGGTGGTGGGCATGCATGCCCCGGAAGCACGACTTCATGATATTTTAGTAAAATTAGCTGCCATTTTACAAGCTGCAAATTCTTCTATTTGTGGAGACAGCAAAACAGACTTCCTTTTTTTTTGCGGGGCGTGGGGGGAGACCATTTGAGAGGCCCCCTCAGTTATATAAGGCAAGGCAAATAGACACCCAGTGTTCTGAGAAACGGTGTAACAGGCTGTCTAAGATGTTTGACTCTTTCTCCACCATAGTTTCCTGCAAAGTTTCCTCCTGGGAAGGAAGGGTCTGAGACCACCACCATGTTTTGTTTTGTTGAGGTTCTACCTTACTGGAAAATTTTGGAATCTCTCTAACGCAGGGAGGGGACAGATTAATACAGATGACATAAGAGGATCCTGGAGGCCCCAGCGGGGACACACCACAGAGAAACAGTCTAGTTGTGTAAGAGAGCTCGCTCTGGGCACGGTACGTGACTAATGCAAGAACACTCTTTGATTTGGGTCTTTTAACACGAGTGCACCTGAAGGAAAATGGCCGTGTGTGTGTGTGTGTGTGTGTGTGTGTGTGAGTGTGTGAGAGTGTGTGTGTGTGTACACTGATGCATCCCAGCAGATGGAATCATGCGCATACATATACCAAAAGAGCCACGTCTCTAAAGAAGTGCAGCCTGGAAGCCCAGACCAACAGGGTGTGGGGCAATAGCAGCTGACTGCAGGCCTGGGGCGAGAGGCGTATACTCCCCTCTCTGTACTCAGAGAAAACACCAGCGGATCAGAGGGCAACCAAGGCCTGGGTCAATGGTGCGCTCCCGGGAGAGCACAGATACTTCTGGGTCCCAAGTATGGCTTGCTTTCAACCACATCATGAGCTTCACACACACATCCTCCGTGTGTATTGATCAGATTTGGATATTTTCTCTCCTCTTAACTGGTATACCTTGGCCCACTCCAAGGTGCCTCACGTAGGTTAGAGGTGAGCTGAAAGGCTGACTCCCTCAGCCTTGGGGTATCTGAGGCTGAGAGAGCTGGAGCAGCCTTGCCAGTGTGCCATGCAAACACTTTCCTATAAGCCATGATCTCACAATGGTTAGGAAGCAATAACCCTTCTTCTACCCCAATCATGGTCCTTGGACTAGCGGCTTTGGCATCCCCTGAAGAATCTCAGGCCCCACCCCCATCCCGCCCAATCAGAATCTGAATTTTTACCTGGTCTCCTGGGGATTCATATTCAAGTCTAAGAAGTACTACTACAGACAACAGTAATGGGAAGTAAAGGAGCTCTCGTGGCACAACAGTTAAGAGCCCAGCTGCTAACTGAATGGTTAGCAGTTTGAACTCATCCAGCAGGAAAAAGACCTGATGATCTGCTCCTGTAAAGATTTAAAAAAAAAAAAAAAACACACCAAACCCATTGCTGTCAAGTTGATTCTGACTCATAGCAACCCTATATAGGACAGAGTAGAACTGCCCCATAGGGTTTCCAAGGTTGTAATCTTTAAGGAAACAGACTGCCACATCTGGTGAGCAGCTGGTGAGTTTGAGCCCCTGAACTTTCAGTTAACAGCCAAGCACTTAACCAAGGCACCACCAGAGCTCCTTCCTGTAAACATTACAGTCCAGAAAACACTATATGGGAGCAGTTCTACTCTGTCACATGGGGTCACCATGAGTCAAAATTAACTCGATGGCACCTAACAACAACGAGAAGTAACCTCTTAGATTAGTTTCCTGAGGTTGGTTACCATGGGAATGAGGACTCAGTGAGTAAAGACACTGACCACAATACGCAAAATTTGGGCTCAGATTAATTTAATTTGAATATTAAAAGCAATGAGACTTTAAAAAGCTTGTAAGCGGCCATCCAAGGCCCAGCAATTGGTCTCTATTTGCCTGGAGCAACAGAGGAAGGAGAGCCAGGAATAAGAGGAGGAATGGAATATGTGGTTAATTGCCTCCATGAAAAACTGCCTCCTTTGCCATGAGACTAGAAGTGGATGGTGCCCAGCTACCATCACTGAACATTTTGCTCAAAGATTCTGTAGAAGAATCCTTATCAAATGGGGAAAATGCACAATATAATTTCAAATTCTCATGGACTCCAGACTGGAGCCATGGATGGTGGATGAGCCCCTGAAACTACTGCCATGAGATAATCTTTAAACCTTACACCAAAAATAACTCCTGGAGTCTTCTTAAAAACCAAACAATAGTTTAGCTTAACTAGTAAAGAATGTCTGCCCTGAGCATTGTGCTCTTTTAATCTCTAACTGCAGCCCTGGTTGCGCAGCGTTTAAGAGCTCAGCTGCTAACCAAAAGGTCCACAGTTTGTATCTACCAGCCGCTCCTTGGAAACCCCATGGGGCAGTTCTACTGTGTCCAGTAGGGCTGCTATGAGTCGGAACTGACTAGACGGCAATGAGTTTGTTTTGTTGTTGCTGTTGTTATTTTAAGACCTATCTATATGGGCTCAAACTGACAGCAGCAACTCGAAAGATTAGATAGGAACCACAGGGGGCAGTGAATTTATGTTAATGTGATAGAAACATCAGAAAAGGAGGGTAAGAATGGTTGCACAACTTAAAGAATGTAATCAATGTCACTGACTTGTACATGTAGAAACTGCTGAATTGGTGTCTGTTTTGCTGTGTATATTCTCAATAACATCAAAAAATAAATTATTTTTAAAAAAGCAGTGAGACCTTTGTACCCCAAGCTGGTCGTATGGGTGGTACCAGTTAAGGATTAGTGCCAGGCGTCCCCCTGCCCCCACAGGGATGCAGACAGATATAGGAGACTGGTTCCATCCTCCACCCAATCTACTGGGAAGCACAAGGCAGGCGAGCTGGATATAAGTCCAAAAAGCCAAGCCTTACCAAGGACCTTCTCTCCCCAGCTACCATTAAAGGAAGGCCCCCAAAGATGTAGGGAGCTACCCTCCCCCAGAAGGTATGCACACTTCCACTTTCTACAGCCTCTTGAAAATCGATCATTTCATTCTTCTTTCCTTCAACTGAATGCTGAATGAATGACTGCTGAGTGTGAAAAGGAATTAATGCAAAATTTTAAAGTGTCTAAATCAAGTGTGATTCCATAAAGTGGAATTCTCCAATTGGTGATTTAGTTAACTCTGCAAAAGGGCTGCAGTTAGGGAGTCCACTGGAAGAGGGTGATGGAGAGCGAGCGAGGGAGCGAGGGAGCGAGCGAGCGAGAGAGAGAGAGAGAGAGAGAGAGAGAGAGAGAGAGAGAGAGAGAGAGAGAGAGAAGTGAGGAGAGAGGGAGGGGGGAAGAGAAGGAAAGAGGGAGGGTGGGAGGCAGAGAGAGAGAACACGACAGAGCACCAGTGTCACGGGAGAGCGAAATGCACGTAAGAGCATGATTGAGTGAACCCAGCCCACAGACATCCAGAACTGCCTCACAACAGGCAAGTGCCCTACCCTTCAGAGCCTGACAGCACTCAGGGTTTCCAGAAACATCAGTGCTTATCATACCATTTGTCAGCAGTTAATCTGCAGCCTTCTGTAGGAGAAGGACCCTGGGGCTCATGGTGAGCAGCTCAGAGCCTGCACAGTTCACACTTCCACAGCTCCAGGGCTCTGCACTGGGCAGAACAGATTAGAGCCAATTCTCCCACCTGGGGCTGTTGGGGTTCTAGCGGGACTGTTGCAGGTTCAACAGCTGGCGAGCCTGAGCTGGGCTGCTGAGGAGATGCCTCTCCACCCATTCCCTCCCCCACCATCCCATGCCACTGATGATGCTCACGTGTGTGACGCGACTCCATACAATCCCCTGCCCTGCACCTCTTTACTTGACCACTCAGGAGCCAGAGTGGGAGTGATGTTTTTATAGGAAACCCTGTAATTTCATTTATAAAACCTCAGTGGTTTCCTTACTAGGCGTCTCAGAATTGTTTTGACGCACTGACCCATGGGGGAGAGCCACAGCACTGTGGGATACTGACAGCAGCAGGATGGGGTGCAGCCTGGGAGCACCCACTGGGCACAGCTGCAGTCCCAGGGGTCTGCCTGCCTTATGAAGGGGACAATGAGTAAGCTGGGACTCCCATCACTGAGGCTGGTTCTTCCAGGTTCTTTCCAGACTGGCTCAAGTTTTAGGTGATTCACCTGAGCAGGGGCCTTTCTCTTGCTCTTTCCTCTGCCTAACTCCCCTCGATGGACCTTCCAGGGACTCCAGGTGACAGGGTCAGTCTGGCTTGGTCACCTGAGGAATTTCTGCATCTTCAGTAAGAAAAGTCATGTTTGGGGTCAAAGCTGTTGGTGGCCACTGATCTTACAACTCCAAACCAGTTTCTTCCAAAATGCATGTGTCCTTCTGACTGGTTCATCTATGGGTCATTCCAGCTTTATAGTGAGTGACTTTAATCAGATGGTCAAGGCCACACCTGGCTGAGAGCAGAAAGACTCCATGAAACAAGTTTCTATGCTAGAAGGAAAGAGAACCAGTCCTTTTAGCGCACAGGACAACCTTAGGGATGGGGGTGTCATTTTGCCTAGGCTCCAGCTCTGTGTATAGATACACAGCTCCAGGGCTCGTCCTTTACATAAGCTATGAATGGCACCGCCAGGAGGTGTGCACTGCAAGGCCCTGCTACAGTTCATAATGTTGTCTCCATATGAAAAAAGTGCCACGTGATGCTAATGTTTGAATCAACCAGATAATACAGTCTTGGCCAATCTAGTGTAGCTTTTCCGGCTTAGTACACTGGGAGAAGAGGAGGAAGCAAAACAGAAAGAAACAGAAGGAGAAAAATGTCATATTCATTGTATCTAACCAACTACCTGCCGCTAGTTAAAGTACGTTAAGCATCCTGTTTTCCTAGAACATCCTCTCTACCTTTGCTCCCCTCTTGGTTTACCCATTCTGAATCCTGAGTATTTGTGTATTTTCCTAGATGTGGGGGCCTCTCAGTGGTGTGCTGGTTTAACAACTATCTCTGAAAAAATTAAAAACCCAAACCAACTGCCATTGAGTCAACTCTGACTCATGGTGAACCCATGTGTGTCAGAGTAGAACTGTGTTCCACAAGGTTTTCAATGGGTGATTTTTTGGAAGTAGATTGCCAGGCCTTTCTTCCAAGGTGCCTCTGGGTAGACTCGAGCCTCCAACCTTTTGGTTAGCAGCCGAGCACCACCAAGGGACTCCCTGAAAAAAAAAAAAAGCCCTGATTTATGGTGTTTGCCAATTTCCATGGTGTAAATACTCCCTCCCCCCATGCCCGTTTCAAGCTACCATGTCACTGAACATGGAGTTGGGAAGAAATGTGCAGAGTCAGCTCCCACTAGCTCCAGTACACCACAGGACTCTGCATTCTGTACTGTCACAAAATGCTAAGGGACCTCTTTTCTCTTTTCTGCTCTAATTCTTCTTCACATCTATGAAGCTTTAACAAGTACTGGCTCCCAACTAGGAAATGGCTTCCGAAGGTCAGAACCAGTACACTACAGTCAATTGGTGTTACTATGTAGATGACTAAGGTACCAGCTGGTTCAACAGAATATTATAGAATATTAATATGATGGAATTCACCTCCTCAATAAAATTAAAGGATTTTCACATCTCCCTCCAGCTGTTAAATGCTCAGACTTCTGCATCTTTCTCCAACTCTCTAACTTACATAGAACCTCTGGCACATAGTAGGAGGGAGGGTGGATAGAAAAGAGGAAGATAAAAAGAGAATGTGAGAGCAAGTTACTTAAAGAAAACGATCTATAAATAATACAGTGAACGAAGAACAGAGTATCAGACAGAACAAAAGTATCATCATGTCCATTGGTTTCTAATATTAATTGGGAGAGACACAGCCCTATTCTTTGATCACAATCTTTTGCAAGTCCACTACTCTAAAACGATCTCCTGAAAATGTCTCTAATATTTTTAGGATTAGCAGAAATCAGCTAAAATATACCCAATTTTACTACCTGAAATCCTAAGAGTCGGAAATTATCCTTTATGCTGACAAAATATAAAATGTTGAACACGGCCAATTACAAAGAAACACTGAAATGTTGAATAAGAAAGAAAAAAAAAGCCCATGACAGTTCTATAATCACAGTAGAAATGCAGCTCATTTAACCATAGAAGATAAAAATTAATGTTTTCTGGAAGAGCCTTAATCTTCTACAAGATTTTTTCAATTAATTTAACCATGAATAATTTTTTTTAATTACTTGAAATTTTCCATTTTAAATCTTAGAAGGCTATTTTCAACCCATTTCTATAAATGTATTAGGCTGTATACTTCAATCTAGGAAATAAAATTCCTTTATATTAGTGCCCTGGCATCAAAAAGCCCTGACTTGTCACCATAGTTAAAGGAAGTATCTGAGGCATGAGGACAACAGGGATTGGTATGATCATTCCAGAGTTCAACCCACTCTTTCGAAGGCCCGTTTCCTAAATAACAATGTCCAAATACCATAACAGAACATTCAAGGCTCTACAAAACCAGGCTCTAAACATCCACAAAGGAGCCCTGGTGGCATAGTGGTTAAAGCACTTGACTGGTAACCAAAAGGTCGGTGGTTCGAACCTACCAGCCACTCTGCAGGAAAAAGATGTGGCAGTCTTCTTCCGTGCAGCCTTGGAAACCGTATGGGGCAGTTCTACTCTGTCCTATAGGGTCACTATGAGTCGGAATCAACTCAATGGCAGTGGGTTTGGGTTGGTTTAAACATCCTCATGTGCCCCTCCTGAGCCAGCAGCAGTTAGAGGAGCAAGCCGTAAGGGGGAGGTCCAGATACCAGGGGGAGAAAGGAAAAGCCCCAAATCTGGAAGTCCAAAAAGTGGGTGGGAGGTGGGGCCATAGAACCAAGGATTCAAAACAGGAAGGTAAGATCAAGAGAAACCAGCTGGGTCAAACAGGAGGAGCATCCTAAGAAGCTTCCCAGAAGTCCACTGAGGTCAGCAGAGGGGCCACAGGAGAGTGGCTGGGCTTGTCTGGTGGAGGGGATGGGGGCATGGAGGAGAGATGGAATCCTTACTGCCATTCTCGTCTATAAGGGGAGTCACAGCAGGAACTGGGCACCATGTTATTTCATGCCTCTAAACTTTTGCACGTGCTGTTCTCTATGCCCGGAATGTTATTACCGCTTTTGGTACCTAATGAACTCCTACTCTTCCCAAAATGCCCAGCTCAATAGTTCTTTCCTCTGTGAGGCTTTCCCCTTCATCATCTCCTTTATGCCACCTCTTACCTTGTATACAGCCTCTGTTGCTGCACTTACCAAATTATTTGCTACATGGCAATGTCCCCTCTTAGACTGTGACCTCCTTAAGGACAGAAACCATGTCCCTAGTGCCCAACAAGCACAAAAGGTGCTCAGTAAGTGTTTGTTGAATAAATAAATGAAAAACTAGGAACAGCTTACATTGAATTGAATGATCAGGCTGTTAGAAGGATCTACTGGCATTTGTTATTAAAAAAAAAAAAAAGAGGAGGTGCTTGGCTTTTCCCCTGAGTCATCTAAGAAATAATTCCTAGCTATATACCATCCTGAAACCATGAGAGGAGAATAAATATTTTCAGCTACAAAGGGAATGAAACTTAGCTGCAGATTCCCTAGTAGCAGATTCAATAGTTTAACACCCAATATTCCAACAATGATGATGGTTTCAGCCAAGGGAACACCTTAAAAATACCAGAGAACCTACTAGAATGGGCAGTCTTCTAGAGTTTTCTAGACTCAGGATCAGACTCACCTGACAGATTCCGAGGCCCACCTCAAAGATTCTGATACACTAGGTTTGGGTCAAGGCATCTCTACTTTTCAAAAACTCCCATCAGTGATCCTGATAATGAACAGATTTGGAAGCCACTGGATGGTTATGACTAAGCTACTGATGGTGTGATCTGTGCTATATATGACTGAACATTCCTGGGGAGAGGGACTTCTGTCGACCTGGTAGATCAGAAATTGTCTTAATAAATAATAGCTAAACCTACTATGTATGTTACTTGGATCATCTCATTTAACCATCCTGACAAGCACATAAAAGTAGGGGCTAGTATGATCCTCATTGTACAGATAAAGAACCGAAGTTTAGAGAGATTAAATAACTTATCTAGCTACTAAGTGAAAGAGGTACCATTCAGAATGCTAGTAGTTTATTCTAGAGGCTGTGTTCTTAACTACTGTGCAATACTGCCTCTGGGCTGAAGTATATGGGCAGACAGCAACCCCCTAAAATACAATGTCTTAAAGAAATGGCCAGTACACTTGAAGTTGCTTCAATCTGCATTGTCTCTGGACTATTTTGTCCTCTAACTCATAGCAAGTGGATATTTTGATAAATCCTAAGCATTCCTCCATCCCTCTGTCTCACTGTGTCTTATTCATCTTTGCATCTCTCATATACAGCACAATGCCTGGTCCATGGCATACACTCAATACATATTTGTTGAACTTAAAACAACAATTTGATTCCGTGATTGTGAAGAACACTATTTGACAAGCGCCAAGAACTTCACTTAACCAAAGCTCTTCGTGCTACGCTGCCCATGAAGAGGTAGACAGAAAAATCTGATCCTGCTAGACAAGTGTAGACCTGGTACAGGAACTTAGGATATTCTTGGTGAATGAACTCCCAAGGGAAGCACATGCTTTCTGCCTGCTTGACTGGTCTCAGACAAACCTGGATGGATCTGGGGTCCCAGTGAAGTAGTTAATGCAGGGCAAGCTTCTATTCTGAGGCAGGACAGACACGGTGCTGGCTGTGGTGAGGAAAGATTCTGAGTCTATACAGACTCCACTGGCTTTGTCCCGTAAGATGTCAATCATAGTTTGCACAGTGATGCTTTCTGTAAAATAAGAGAGTGAGAGAAACAGAGAGGAGATATAACTATGGCTGGCTGCTAACCAAAATCCATTCGCTCCTTTTGCTTTTTAGTAATAGAACCCCTAAAATTATAGCTGGGAACATAACTGCCCAACTCCAGACTATATTTCCCAGCTTCCCTTGTGGCTAGGTATGGCCACGTGATAAATTCTGACCAATGGAATGTGAATAGAAATGTGTGCAATTCCCTCATCACATCCATAAAAAGCAATGCTTGCCTTCCACTTTTCTTTTTTCCCTTCCTACTGGCTGAGAGATGGCAACGAGTGAACCACAAATGGAAGCCATGTGTTGAAGCTGAGCAAGCCACCGGCCCTGGGCTGTCCACATACATCTGGACTATAACATGGTGGAGAACTAAACTTCCATTTCATTTGAGCCACGTTATTTTGTGGTCTCTCCCTCTCTCTCTACATATATAGATACACCTGAACCAGCGCAATAACTCAATTGAATGATATTCCTAGGAAAGTATGTACAATCTATATGCATTCCAGCATGTTCTCTCTCATACAGTCTTATTGGTTAGGGTCAATATTATAATTGAAGAACTGACTTCTCTGAGTGGGATATATACATACAACGAGGCATTTAGACTATTCAGAGTCATTAGGGCTATTGGCTCTGGCTTCAGATAAATGGATAAACAAATCCCTGATCACACAGGATCCTGGATCTACATATCCCCCTCTGCTTATAGTTCATTAAAACACTATTCATATAGCCTGTATTCACAAAGATGGAATCAAAGCATCACAGAGGAAGAAGGTACCTGAAAGTTCCCTAGTACAATTCACATCTTTGTAAATCCCTTTTATTTACAACAGGTCACATGAAAAATATTGACAAGTCCTTGACTTCTTCAACCATCCAATGTTCAAGTTTCCTCATTGTATCGTAAATGTTGTCTAAGTTCATTGATTTGGATCAGGATCCAATAGGTTAATAATGTCTCTTAAATCTCTTTTAATCTCTGCCTCTCATTTTTTCCCTTTGCATTTTATTCGTTGGAGAAATCAGGTCATTTTTCCTGTAGAATTTCCAACAGCTGACTTTGCAGATGATATCACCATGGTTTTACTTACTATGCTCCTCTGTCCTCTGTATTTCCTATAAACTAGTAGCTAGATCTGAGGATTCATCAGATTTAGGTTTGATGCTTTGGCAAGACTACTTCATAGAGAGTATTGTATACTTGTATCAAGCTAGCTTTATTTTTTTAATTAAAAACCTTTAAGATATTTTCAGCTTAGAAGAGTTCTTAAAGTTCCCATTTAAAATGGGTACTTTCTCACTTTCCTTCCCAGAATATATTAACTAAGATCTATAGCAAAAACCCTAAAGTGTTTTTCTAAAACAGGGAGTCAACAAACTTTTTCTTAAAGAATCAGGTAAATATTTTAGGCTTATGGGCCAGACAGTCTCTGTTGCAACTTCTCTGTCACAACTACATAACTACTCAACTCTGTTGTATTATGAAAGCAGCCACAAACAATACATAAATGAATGGGTGTGGTTGTGTTCCAATAAAACTTTATTTACAAAATCAGGCAGCTGCCCACAGTTCATAGTTTGCTGATCCCCATTCTAAAAAATCAAGATTTGACTTACAAAACACATTTATCACTAGCAAATATGAAATGTGGCATTTAGGTTATTTGTAAGGGTTTCAATCAGGCACAAAATTAACAAGCTATCCAGTCACCACATTTACCTAATTATGAACTCTGATTGAGTCAAAAACTGTGTGGAAGATAGAGGGCTTATGAAGAGAATTCAATTTAACAATTCAACTCAGCAAGTGCTCAAGGAATAAAGGACTATACAGGCATCACAAGGAGATCCTAAGATGAGTAAAAGACAGCACCCCCACCCTCAAGGCTGAGCAATCTAATGGGGCTGGGTGAGAGGAAAATATAGGGTAAAGTCAAATATTACAAATACTGGAAGGCTGCAGTAAGTATTGTAAGAGACAAACTCTATGACAACAGTGTTTAGAACAGGGCTTTGAACCAGTGCCTTCTGGTTTGAACCCCTGCAGAGAATTTGCATTCCTAACAAGCTCCCTGCTGAGAATTTGTATTTCTAAAAAGTTTCCAGGAATTATGCCTAAGAATCACCTGGAGATCTTGTTAAAATGTAGATTCTGATTCAGTATATTTGGGGTGGAAATGCAAATTCTCAGCAGCGAACTTGTTAGAAATTCAAATTCTCAGCTGGGGTTCGAACCAGAATGAACCTGTTTGAAGCCCTGGTTTAAAGAAAAAATAACGTCATTAGGAGGAGAAAACGTCCATGCATAAGGAAGCATCAACAAAAATAAATTCAAGTTGTCTTCTTCCCCGAAATGGTTTTTAGCACAAGTTTGGTCTTTACATACAACATCTACCCTCTAATCCTCTGCATCACTCACCCTCCTAAGTTCAGGTGAGTTCTCTGAAACAGCTGAAAGAGGGAGAATCATAAGGTATACTCCAACTCACCTTCTTGTTTTTCTAAGCTGTCTTTCCCTGCACAGCAATCTAGATGGTCATCAGCTGGAGAAAACACTTCGGAAAAATTGAACTCGTCCTCTCCTGTCCACCAGCCTTGACTCTGAGCATAGTTCCTGAGTTCAGGATGCTCCACGTCAATCTTAGTGGCGAGCGAAAGCTGAGTGCAAACACACCTCACTCCCTCTGAAGAGACGGCAAAGCCCAGTTAGTTGAAATACACTTACAAAGAATTAATCAAGAAACAGAAATTTACAGGGAGTCTTCCCCTTCAACTCTCACTTTAACCACAGGGAGGAATCGATTCAATTTCTGAAGAAAAAACAGGCAATCCTTCATACTCTTTCTAGGAAACCTCCCAGAAGGTTTGAGCAGTCCTGACCTGGCATTATCACATTTTAAATGAACAACAATCACTTTAGTGATCTTAAATTCACAATGAAAAGGAAACGTGCCAAGCTCTTCCTTCTGGCTAAATAAACCCTAAGCATTTATTACTTACACACACAAAAAGTGAATGGTTCTTTGAAGGAGGCACTGTGCTGCTAGTAAGACCTATGAATGTTGTATCTATGGAGATTCCTCTTGCCCAATTTGGTTCTGTTTCACTAGAGAAATTCTTCACACCATCATCCCCCATTCACCCAAATATATTTAGTTTTTAAAAACACAAATATTATACTTCTTCATTCAACTTTTTTTTTCCTGGTCCCAAAATTTAGAAAAACACAATGGCAATGATGATTGCTTTAAAATAAAGGGATGTACCCTTGAGTGCGTGTGTGCGCGTGCGTGTGTGTATGAGAAGAATCTGTGTGAATCCATTTTTCTCATAAAAATATAAGTGTAGCTAAACAATCTGAAGCAAAAAGGCCTGCATTCTGAGTACATTCACCACAGTGAGTGAGGGTTTAAGCCAGAAATTCTCCTAACAGTTGGCAGGCTTGCTATGTCTTCTCCAAAGCCTGAACTGAAAAGACACAAAGGATGAATCGACCTTTCAATTCCAAGACACTGTCTACAAGACAAACAAAAAAGTTATCTGTTGTAGCTCAAAAAGACCATTCATATTTGCTGATTCTAGGGAGCATGCTGAGCTTCCAAATTCTTGAAGAATGAATTAGAGGGAGAAATAGAGCCAAAATTACAAGCTGCAATGAAGCCACCACTGCCTGACAACCTGTAACCAGAGCCGGGGTGCTGGACTCAGTCCTTCCGGTATACTTTGCTTCACTGATTCACACTTCCAAAATCAGCATTTCTGGCCAATGGGCATTTGTCCCTTGCCATTCATCTTTTCAGAGGGCAACATAAGAGTCACAGTATCAGTTTTTTTTTAAGTATCGCTTTAACCTAAACAAATGATTTTAACATTATACACACTAAGCTATTAAGAATATCTTGTGAACAACTCCATAGATGCTATTTTTCCTAAAGAGCTGATTTATAATACACATTTGCTTTCAAGTATTTTAGCAGTTAAGGGACAGGTTCATTAAATCCTACCATAATCACACAGCTACTGGGATTAAAAACCTAAAAAACCAAACCCGTTGCCTTCGAGTAGACTCTGACTCATAGCGACCCTATAGGACAGAGCAGAACTGCCCCGTAGAGTTTCCAAGGAGCACCTGGTGGATTCGAGCTGCCGACCTTTTGGTTAGCAGCCGGAGCACTTAACCACTATGCCACCAGGGTTTCCCTACAGGGATCAGGGGGCTTAAAATCAGTGAGTCCAAGGCATGACTGCATTTTTTTTTTTAATTTTACTATTTCTTGAAAACATTGGTTTTGAGGAGATGGATTTTTAAGCTATATTTTGAAAGGGAATTCAGCTTTTGAAATGCAGTCACAGATCAAAAAGTTCTACTTAAAGGCAACACGACTGCTTTTAAGCACAGAACAACTAGTCCTCTTGATGGAACCACTCAGTGGTAAAACTTCACCTTAAGAGGGTTTTTTTACAAAGGAGTTTTAAGTTCTTGCATTTCAGGAAGCTTGGCGACCTGGTGGCCCACATGGGCATTAGTTTTATAAATACTGTAAGAGCTGGGCAAGCAGACACACACTCTGGCAAGTATATGCCAGGGACATGTGGGTTGCAGAAACCCTCTGAGATTGCTGGCAGGGGACCACTAGCCTTTTGCATCCTGGTGGGAACTCTAAGAAGCTGCCCACTCCTCCAGGCAGACACATCCTTTGCACAGCTCGGTCAGGAAACCACAGGCTGGATTCGTGGACTGCCTTATATCGAGTAGAACATGCTCATCATTCACAGCAGTCTGATCCCTGGACTGACTTTGGCCAAAGAAAACAACAGACTTGCTTCACAGCTACTGCAGTAGATCTTCTACTTCTAAATCAGGTCAAATTTGGTTCCAACCACCTCTAAGGCAGGGTTTCAACCATCCCTAATATCATTTCTGATGAATTAGAAGAGCTTCCTGGTAAATTCAGTTGAGAAAAATTCAGAGACCAAATCTAGGTGGACAAAAGGAGTGCCGTGATCTACTAGCCATGTCTACCAGGGCACAGGAGGGGAGAATGGAAGCACACATGCCATGTGTTTGTCGTCTAGTCCTAAGAGGGGTTTCCCCAGCCAGTTCTCCCTTAAGAATTCCTCCTCCCTTCCTCTTGGAAGCCCTTAAATCCATTCTGGAATCCCATCCATCCATAATGAGGATGCTGCCCTTACCCCTAACATTTCCTTCCCCAGAACTGTCTTAGGAGCAAGATGTTTCAGAAGCCACAGAGTAGCAATTTTATCCTTCTGGGTGGACCACCTAGTCCTCTGCTCTTCTACAAAAAGGGTCTCACAGGGAAAGGGCCCAGTTGGCCCAGCATGGCATTCAATGGTCCTTACACAGATCTAAGTTCCTATTCTAGAGGAACATTCCAAGCACAAAGAGCTGCAGGGTTTTGTACAACAGGGGACAGTTCCCTGATGAATTGATTCATTGACCTATTATGAACGGGGAATCACCATTCCCTCGGCCAATTAACAGAGTAACAATTTGGATCATGGAACTTCTGGGAGTCAAAACTGAGTCCTACCCAGAAAGCAAAGAGAAAATATGAAATATATATTAGGGGTGAAATTCCCAAGTGTCAACATCTCTTGACTCCAGGTTCAAGAGATTCTAGGCTCTAAGTTATAAGCAGAAGCCCAGGAATGAGAGGCATGTCTAGACATGAAGACCCAGCACAGACAGGGTCTGCAACAGCAGCAGGATTGCACTAGTCTGACCCTGAAGGGTCAGCACCACCCACCCCCGCCTTTCCCCATCCTCCAAACCCTTCATCACCCATGTCCACTCACCTGTGATTTTCTCAGCCGCCCAGTACTTCCCTATGGTCTCAAGCACCCAGGCTTCCTCACGATCCACAATCAGATATGCACTTTGGAAACTATGGCAGGAGTTTGCATCTTCATAATAATTTCCACCTTGTCCATGTTCTTCCAACAAGGAGACAATAACATCTAAGGCTTCTTTAGCTGTTGTCCCTCTTTCTAAACCAAGCCTGAAGCAAGGAAACAAGAAGTTCACCTCAGTCATCTCAAAGTACGTGATTATTACCCTAGTAATGAAAGACTGGGAGGAGGCTAAGTTATGAATCATGCCAACAAATGTAAATATGTTAATACACCGATAAATATGCAAATAGATTAACAGCATTTAAAGCAGAATATGTGTCTATATATTAAACATCATGGGGTGTTCTGTGTCTTTGGACATCCCCCATCCACACAGACAGAAGAGTCAGGAATCCAATGGCCTCTCCCTCCTGAAAGGAAGTCATTTCTCTTTCTCTTTTTGACTCTGTCTCCCACGTAGCTGGCCAGTTCAGCTCTAGCTCTTAGTAGACCTACTCTTTGTGGCTTTTTCCTTCTCCTGCCTCTAGCCTAAGCAAAAGGAAATATCTACCTAAACTAGCCTTGACCTCTATTAGTCTACATCAGATATTTTGGTTAGTAATACAAAGTGTTCAACTGGCAGCCATTGTCCTTTGGACTATAATTTGCTTGGAGACCTCACTGAGGATGGGTGGCTGGTTAGAACATGATCAATCCTGGTTTGATACATTTCTCCTCCTACCTATCAGCCTAATTCTTTTGATAGACCTTGGGCAGATTACATAATATGTTCGAACTTCCCTTTTATGTCACCTATAAAATGAGCACTTACATTATTGGGTTTCCATGAGGATGGATTTTATGAATGATGAACATGAAAACACATAGTGCTAGTACATGGGACCAAGTAAGTGATCAACAAATTTTGAGAGGTAGCTTGCTGTAGCAGAGAAATATGTATTTCAGAGATGAAGGAAGCTAACTTCTACTTCCAGTTCTGGTTTTAACTGGCAGTATGATCAGTATGGCAGCATGATCTTAAGTAACGTTACCTTTCCAAATCTTGGTTCTCTCATCTGTAAAGTGAAAACAATACTACCTCCCGCTCAGGCTGATATGAAAAAGGCTGACACATAATATGTACTCAGTAAATGTCCATTTATTCGTCTGTTCATTCAAATTATAATTCTAGTGGCAGGAACACAGGAGTCTTAGAACAGAGGCAATGAGCCTGCTAAGATGGTGGTATCGACCAGTTCTTGGTAAATTTTCCACTCAAGAAGCAATAGCTATTAAAATTTACCCAATTTGATGCTTTCTGAAGGGTCATTTCAGTGTGCTGCCAGGGAGAAGAAAATATAATGCAACTACATGCTACAGACTTACTCCTGTAATAGGCTTATTTTCATAGTCAGGTAATTATATATCAATTCATTTGACATTTTTCCATTTAAGCTTATTTAGGAAGACTTGGTTATAAGGCAATGGTTTATGAAGTTGAACCCTAAGAACTTAGGAGAGTGATAAAAGAAAAAGCCCATAAGTAGACTGAATTAAGTAGACTTTTTTTTTGGCCAATGTCATCCTCTCCAAAGAGAAGTAAATCCAGTTGCCATCAAGTTGACTCTAACACATAGAGACCTCATGTGTGTCAGAGCGGAACTGTGCTTCATAGCGTTTTCAATGGCCGATTTTTCAGAAGTAGATTGCCAGGCCTTTCTTTTGAGATGCCTCTGGGTTGACTTGAACCTCCAACCTTCCCATTAACAGCCAGCACATTAACCATGTGCACCACCCAGGGACTCCCCAAAGAGGAGTAGCAGAAGCAAAACCAACCACCATTTTGTCCGACTCATAGCAACCCCATGTGTGTCAGAGTAGAACTGAGCTTCATAAGGTTTTCAATGACTGATTTTTTCCAGAAGTAGATCTTCAGGCCTTTCTTCCAAGGTACCTCTGGGTAGACTCAAACCTCCAACCTTTCGGTTAACAGTTGTTAGTTGTTAGTTTCAGTTGTTGTTGTTAGTTGCTCTTGAGGCAATTCTAACTCATGGCGACCCCATGTATATAGACTAGAACTGCTTCATAAGGTTTTCAAGGCTGTGTCCTTTCGAAAGCAGATTGCCAGGCCTGTTTTCTGCGGTGTCTCTGGCTGGGTTGGAACTGCAACCCCTTCGGCTAGTCAAACAAAACTTGCTGCCGTCGAGTCAATTCCAATTCACAGCGACCCCATAGGGCAGAGCAGAACTGCCCCATAGGGCTTCCGAGGAGCAGCTGGTGGATTTGAACTACTGACCTTTTGGTTAGCAGCCAAGCTCTTAACCACTACACCACCAGGGCTCCTCTGGCTAGTAATCTAGTGTTTAACCATCTGTACCACCAGAGGCTTTATCTGTGAATACCTAGCCAGTGGCAATCGCCCCCTCTTTTGAAGATGTCACCTCTCTTTTGCAGTTTGACTTGTTCCTCTTACTTTTGCCTTCCCTGATGCTCTGCCTGTTTGCAGTCCTCACTGAGACACTCAGTACTTACACTGGCCCTCATATGCTGAGTCTGATGTCCCTATGCGCAGAGCTTCTGCAGCAGGACCTCGGCATTAATCCACAGACACAATTCTGACTCCACCCTCTGACCCTTCATGCCAGGACCACAGGTAAAAGATGCTCCCTTGTCCCACCTGGTCTCCTTGCCAGGGGATGGGGACAGGACAGCACCTGCTCCCCAGTCCAAGGCCATGAGTGACACCAGTGTTGTACACTTTCCATCTGAGACTGAGAGGCGCAGGTGAACCATACGTCACTGGGTGCAGAGGCGAGATGGGGCCATGAGTCACACAACATCAAGTGACCTATTTTAAAGACTTTTACAATTCCTCTCCTAGATGGGGCAGATTCATGTGATTAAAATAAGAACAACACCTTGCTGGCCCCCACTGAGAATTTTGTTTTGGCTGCTATACCTCAGTGTGGGCATGACGAGGGCAGGGGAAGGGATGAACTTCCACAGGCCAAGGTTAGAGCCTTGCTCTGATATTTACCCTTAATACACAGGCTTATCCAAATCCTTCCAAAGTGCGGGCTTTGTCCAGGTTGTTCCGGGTTTTGGAGTTTGATGGCTCTGAATTCAAAACCTAGTTTTACGGTAAAATCCTTATTTGGGGCCCAAGACCGTCTCCAAGGTATGTCAAGTTCACTCTGCCCTTTCCAGGGCTTCAAACCAGTTCATTCTGGTTTGAACTCCTGCTGAGAATTTGCATTTCCACCCCAGATATATTGAACCAGAGTCTACATTTTAACAAGAACCCTAGGTGATTCTTATGTATAACTTCCTGGGAACATGTTAGAAATTCAAATTCTCAGCAGAAGTTCAAACCAGAAGGAACCAGCTCAAAGCCCTGGCCCTTTCCTGAGAGGCTGTGAGTGACATCTGCACCTCCCTGGCTTATGGCCCCTTTGTGTAGGAACTCTGCTTGCTTATCTTTTTTATATCTATGCCTCTGTAGATTAGGGAGGCAAATAAGGTAAAACACAGTTATAAACTAGATTTACAATGGATATATCATTGCTGCTCTGGGAAAGTAATAAAAATAATCAATTGTTGTTGTTAGCTGGCGATGAGTCAGCCCCCGACTCACAGTGATCTCACAAACAACGCAAGGGAACACTGCCCAGTCCTGCGCCATCTCCATGATTGGCTGGGCATTGGAACATTGTGATCCATAGGGTTTTCATCAGCTGAATTTCAGAAATAGGTCACCAGGCCTTTCTTCCTAGTCCATCGTATCTGGAAGCTTGGCTGCACGTGAGATGCACTGACCAGGACTAGAACCTGGATCTCCCACATGGAAGGCAGGAATTCCACCAGTGAACCACCACTGCCCCCATGAAAATAAGTCAATATTCTTCCCTTTACAGGACCAGGTCTGGTGCTCTTACAAGGACTCAGCCTGCAAATAATCTGCCCTCCTCTCTGCAATCAACAAGTCTGCAAGGTCCTCTGAATTCATGACCTTTGGGCTATCTGAAGATTCCCGGTCTTCAGGCAGAAAGCTGGAAGTGTAAAGATAATATAAGGCTGTTAAGGGCTGCGTTGATTTGGGGAAAGGGTATGTGAAACCTTTTCACTAATCTCTATGGTATCCTGAGCTCTCTGTCTCATTAAAAGTAGAAGCAGTATGATCTAGAACAGAGAGGAGTGGCCTCCCTGCGGTTAGTGGGCCTGGTATACCTGGCTCTGCCACGTCCCAGCCCCGGAGCTTGGAGCGAGTTACTTAACGTCCCAAAGCCCCCGTTTCCTCATCTACTAAATGGAAAAAAAACACACTTATTTCACTAGGTTGTCGTGAGGGTTAAATAAAATGATATATGCAAAGCCCATCTTACAACAGGGTTCAGGAAATGGTAATTCTAATTACACAGGTTTTTCCACCTGCAGACATTGACCAGGCCTCCATTCAAGCCACCTGGGAGTCCAACAACTTGAAGCCAACCTTTAGACCCTTCCAAATTTTCACACTGGCCTCTTTTCAAGGACTTCTGTGCTTTTCACATGCTGGGGGTCCAATGGAATGTGCCTAGAATTATGAGAAGTTCTGAAATTGTGGGACTGACTGGGTTTTAGTTCCAAAGTTAATTAAACACAAATGGAGCAGGAAGAATTAGTTTGCAGAAAAAGAAAAGAAAAAAGCAGCTATGCAAAAGGAAAAAGAGGCATAAAACACTGAAAAAAATATGGTAGTGTGCTGGGGCCAGCTAGTACCAGCTCAGAGAGCAAACTGTTAAAATTTCAGAAATTTTGAGCCACTTGCTAAACCATTGGTAACCTGGAATCGGTCAGGGTAGGAGTATTTACACCACATAAATTGGAAAAGGCTACAAATAATGGCTACCCCACACCAAGCCAATTATTAAACATTTACCAGCATACCAAGGTCCCTGGGTGGCACAAATGGTTACACACTCAGCTGCTTACCTAAAGGTTGGTGGTTTGGACCCACCAAGTGGCACCTGTCTTAGTTATCTAGTGCTGCTATAACAGAAACACAAGCAGATGGTTTTAACGAAGAGAAGTTTATTTCCTCACAGTAAAGTAGGCTAAAAGTCCAAATTCAGGGCATCAGCTCCAGGGGAAGGCTTTTTCTCTCTGTCAGCCTTCTTCTCTTCATTGTTCCCCTGGACAAGGAGCTTGTCTGCGCAAGGACCCCAGTCCAAAGGACGCGCTCTGCTCCCAGCACTGCTTTCTTGATGGTATGAGGTCCCCAACTCTCTGCCTGCTTCCCTTCATCTCTTGAGAGATAAAAGGTGGTGCAGGCCACACCCCACGGAAACTCCCTTTACATTGAATGTGACCTGGGTAAAGGTGGTATTGCAATCCCACCCTAATCCTCTTTAACATAAAATTACAATCACAAAATGGAGGCCGACCACACAATTCTGGGAAACATGGCCCAGCCAAATTGATACACACATTTTTGGGGGGACATAATTCAACCCATGACAGCACCACAGAAGAAAGGCCTGGTGATTTGCTTCCATAAAGAGTACAGCCAATAAAACCCTATGGAGCAGTTCTACTCTGTAACATATGGGGTCACCATGGGTCAGAATCGACTCAGTGGCAACAGGTTTGGTTTTGGGGCTTAATAGCATACCTCTGACTAATGGGTTCCAAAAGCTTTCTAGATCTCATCCATTTCAAGGCCTAGATGCATTATCATGAGAGACATAGTCTGGGTTGTTTAAGAGACACCCTTACATCCAGAAAATAAATTCCCATTTTTAATGCTAGCTCCAGCCAGCTACTTATTATTTGTAATAAGCCTCATGAAACATGCAAATATGTATATATGTGGTCATATGTCTCAGAAGAAAGGGACTGGTTGTCAGGTTCTCACAGAAATCAAGAGATCAAAAAAGATAGACAAAGCTTGGCTTTTGGCATAAATATCATTGAAAATGAATTATAAAAAATAGTATTAAGATTGGGAAAAATTGTGGGGGGGAACATGTATCTGATGAGGGTTTAATGTCCAGAATATATAAGAACTCCTATGACTTACAATAAAAAGACAACTCAATCAAAAAGTGGGCAAAGGAATTGAATAGACATTTCAGCAAAGAAGATACACACATTTGTATAGATATACAAGTTTGTATAGATATACAAATATGCACATACATAAGATACACAAGAAGCGCATGAAAAGATGCTCAACACCATTAATCATTAGTCATGCAAATCAAAACCATAATGAGATACCACTTCATCCTCACTAGAATGACAATGATCAAAAACCAGATGTCGATGAAGACGTGAAGAAACTGAAACCCTCATCCACTGATGCTGGGAATGCAAAATGGTACAGCCATTGTGGAAAACAGTTCGGCAGTTCCTTAAAAAGTTAAACATATAATTACCATATGACCTAGCAATCCCAGTCCTACGTATATGCCCAAAATAACCAAAAGCAGGAACGCAAATAGAAACTAGTACACCAGTGTTCACTGCAACATTGCTCACAGTACCCAAAACATAGAAATAACCTAAACGCTCATCAACAGATGAATGGATAAACAAAATGTGGTACATTCATACCATGGAATATTACTCTGCCATAAAGAGAAATGAAGTCCCGATACGTGCTACGACATGGATGAATCTTGAAAACATTCTTTTGAGTCAAATATGTCAGTCACAAAGGATACTGTATGATCCCACTTATATGAAATGTCTTGCTGTTGTTGGGTGGCATCGAGTTGATTTCAATTCATAGCGACCCCATGTGACAGAGTAGAACTGCCCGATAGGGGTTTCTAGGCTGTAATTTATACAGAAGCAGATTGCCAGGTCTTTCTCCTGCGGAGCCGCTGAATGCGTGCGAACCACCAAGCTTTTAGTTAGCAGGTGCGAGCTTAACCATTTATATCACCAGGGCTCCTTATGAAGTATCTAGAATAGACAAATGTATAAAGACTAAAGTCTATTAGTGGTTACTATGGGTGGCAGGGAGGGGGGAAGGGGGAACCTTAGCTTAGAGGGCACTGAGTTTCTGTGACGGAATAATTTGGAAATGGATAGTGGCGATGGCTGCACAACAGGATGAAAGTATAAAATGTAAACAGCTCGTTCTCACAGGAGCTGTCCATGAAAGAACTGGCATCCAAGCACAGAGTATAAGCAAGGACCCCAGAAGTAATGGTACTTCATGCAGCAACCTAGGGAAACACTGAGCCCCAAACTGAGAGAACACAACCAACCAACAGCAAGTTTCCTTGACAGTAGTGGTTCTGAACCTTTATCATGTATCGGAATCATCTGCAGGGCTTGTTAAAACACAGCAGGCCTGGGGTTCCAGACTTTACATTTCTAACAAGTAGTCAGGTAATGCTGGTGCCACTGATCCACAAACCACACTTTGAGAACCCTGCTCTATCATCTTGCTACTCAAACTGTGGTTTGTAGGTCCACAGCATCGGCACCACCTGGGAACTTCAGAGAACTTAATACAGGAAGCCTTCTGGCTCCTCGGTTACTTTTAGGATTCAGTTGGTACAAAATGGCCCCTGAGAATCTGCCCCTGCTTGGTTGAACTGATGGCTGCCTATGTAAAGCGGAGACTAGACCCTGAACTCATGGAGATCCAATCAAGGTGCAGATACCTGGGGCTCCGCCCCCACCCTGAGGAACCTACCAGGAACAGGATCCTCTTCACATTCTTTTTTTATTGCATTAGCTGGACACGGCTAGCCAGGAAAGAAGTTAAAATTAAATGGCTAAGATTAAATCTTCACCCTGTCATCTACTCCCAGCATTTGTTATTGTCCCAGACCTTGCTAACTATCACAACACCAATTATGTTCCAAATATATCTTCTCTGTCTACATCCCTTGGCCATGTAGATCCAGGTCAAATGCACCTCCTCCTCAAAGCACTCCCAAATATGCCCGGTCTGTGGAATGTCTGAATAGCCAGCAGTGTATGCTAAGGGCCATACCTGGAAATCGGTGCTGCTCCTGTGGCTACAAATCTCAGATTGCCTTGAGACACCGCTCTCCTCCTGCTGTCTTCAATGTTGTCTCAAAGCTTATATCAAAGGCACACATCATCACTGGGGGGACTGGGTTACAAATAAGGTGTCTGGGGAAGATAAATCCTGTCCAGATCTAGCCTATTTCTGGGCAGTTGTTTCAAAGAATCGCCGTGTGGTTCACCTTCCCTACCTGACCAGATCCATCCCCAGTAAGGCTTCAGTCTCAGCAGCGGTTTCTCTGGTGTGGATGGCTTCATTGGCTATGCACACTCCGTGTTCATTGGCTCCCATCTCTGCCCCCCAAAGCCAGGCGGGTCTGCTTATCACGATGGCATGGGTCCTCGGAACTTGGTCGATTGAAATGTAAGTGCACTGAAAAATGAAGATGGGAAAGAAAGGGCCATCACCTGCCAGGTATCACTTAATCTTCATCTTGGTATTTACACTGAACCATCACATCATTACAAACAGAGCCAAAAAATAAAAGGCCTTCTTGGGAACATCCACACTTAAACGTCCCCCCAAGTCCCAATGCAACTCAAAGGTCTCCACAGAGGGTTTCAGTCTTGCCACCCACTCCACTTTCAGTCTCTGTGGTTCAAGACTAATCTATCCATAGTGCTTATGCATGTGGCAGTAATGTTCTTGAGCCAGGCAGTCAGCTAAGATTTGCCCTGAACATTATTAAAATCATTGTGTCAGGTCATTTCAATAGGCACAGATGGCCACCAGCACTTTGAACAAACTCAGCTACTTATTCTCATTTGCAAAAATCTGCTATATCAGTGGTTTTCAAAAATTTTTAAGTTATAGAGTCCTATCTTTATTTTAGCTTTTTTTAAATTGTACTTTAGATGAAGGTTGACAGAACACATAGTTCCTCATTAAACAGTTAGTACACATATTGTTTTATGACATTGGTTAACAACCCCATGACATGTCAACGCTCTCCCTTCTCAACCTTGGGTTCCCTATTACCAGCTTTCCTGTCCCCTCCTGCCTTCTAGTCCTTGTCCCTGGGCTGTTGTGCCCCATTAGTCTCATTTTGTTTTATGGGGCTGTCTAATCTTTGGCTGAACGGTGAACCTCGGGAGTGACTTCATTACTGAGCTAAAAGGCTATCCGGGGGCCATACTCTTGGGGTTTCTCCAGTCTCTGTCAGGCCAGTAAGTCTGGTCTTCTTTTTGAGTTAGAATTTTGTTCTACATTTTCCTCCAGCTCTGTCTGAGACCCTCTGTTGTGATCCCTGTCAGAGCAGTCAGTGGTGGTAGCCGGACACCATCTAGTTGTACTGGACTCAGTCTGGTGGAAGCCATGATAGTTGTGGTCCATTGGTATAGAGTCCTATCTTTAAAAGAAGCTTTATGTAGAAGCCTAACATTGAAAGCAGATAAAAGTGAAGATGCTTTGTCTGAAAAAGGGGGTCCCTAAGCCCCCTGCAATGATCCCTAGGTCTCCCTGGAACACAGTTTGACAACCACAAACCTCCCTGATTGCTCTAGTAGTAGAAAAGAGAAAATGATAACACTTTATGTTCAACTATTGCATTACAATGCATACTTTCTTAAACATTGTGCTTTCTTGACGGTTCTATTTGATTCCCACACTAAGCCCAGGGGAACACCAGTAAGGAAACAGTCCCAGAGAAGTGTATTTCTAACTGCTGTCAGCATAGTAGTACGTGTTACTTAGAGTGTGTGTCCTACCTTTTCCAGGCTGCTGTGCCTTTACCTGGAAAATGAAAGAGCTAATCTGGATCAAACTCTTTCTTTCAAAGTATTTTGAGCCTCTGAACCTTTCAGCCAAACAAAGTCTTGCATAGACACACAACACAATACAAGTGGTCAGAATGTGTACAGGCAAAGGGAAGGGGTAAGAGTGAGGAAGGGGTGGGAGTAACCACTCAGAGCCTTGCCCACCTATTCCTCCTTTTCGCCTCCCCACATTGTGGCCCACGGGGGACTCCCTAGAGCACTTACAAACCACTAAACTAGGTCATCCCTAAGGGGCCTCCAGACTCTTACATTCTAGGAGTCTAAGGCCACACTCTTTGTGTGGAGGCTGCAGTATGGAATTCAGGGCTCTAAATTACACAGAGCTCCTTAGTTCTCAAGGGAGAATTCTTTCAGCTGCAGCATCCATTTACATTTTAAATTGAGCAGCTGAAAGCACTGGATCAACTACAGCCTTAGATCTTTCTTCGGTTCAACACCCAGCTATACTGACTGAATGCAGACCAGAAAGCTCTTCTGCATTGATTTCCCATAATCTCTAATTAACAGCTAAAACGCGCTCGGCACGCACATTAATTTGTTGAGTGACTTCAGTATCTTCACAATCCACGCTAGGCATTGTTCTGCACTGGAATAATTTTATTTCACTTGATAAATAATATTTGCAAATTGAAAGCTCATTAAGCCCAGAGGCTGTCAAAAGTCCCTTGAATTTTGTATGGCAAATTGATAGTAAAATATACTCTTGAAATATTTTCCCTATTCAACTCTCAAAAGTTATTTACTTAAAAAAAAGGATTCTTTTAGAGAAAAAGCTGGCATAGCCAAATCAGTAAACAATTAAACTATGCTCCTCTGTGCTCTTCTAAATGTAACTGAGGTTTATATCTCAAAACTGCACTCTCATGGAAGAAGCAGTGCAGGCATTGACCAACTCTTCCCAAAGCCCTGGGCCCATGGAACACCAGGGACGAAGTCTGTCTTGAGAAGAAGAGTAAACAGGGAAGGAATCTCAGCTTCTTAAATACACATGTATTATAAAGTAAGAAAGAAAGAAAGAAAATTAGGAAAGGGGTTTAGTTATTTGTTCTCAAATTTATCTTTACACATTCATTTCAATTTTACCAATTATTTATAGAACATCAATTACACACAAGGCATTTTGTGTGTAGTGCTGCTGGCAGACAGATTAATGGGGATGCCCAGTCCCTGTCCATTCAGTCTGCAAGGAAGGAGAAGACACACACTACTATAACCACAAGGCAGACTCCAGTTAAGTGTCAGCCTGTTATGGACTGAACTGTGTCCCCCCAACAATGTGTCCACTTGGCTAGGCGACGATTCCCAGTATTGTGTGATTGTCCACTATTTTGTCATCTGATGTGATTTTCCTATGTGTTGTAAATCCTACCTCTATGATGTTAATGAGTCAGGATTAGAGGCAGTTATGTTAATGAGGCAGGACTCAACCTACAAGATTACACTGTATCTTGAGTCAATCTCTTTTGACATATAAAAGAGAGAAGTGAGCATAGAGACAGAGGGACCTTCTACCACCAAGAAAGAAAAGCCGGGAGCAAGCACATCCTTTGGACCTGGGGTCCCTGCGCTGAGATGCTCCTGGACCAGGGGAAGATTGATGACAAGGACCTTTCCCCAGAGCCAACAGAGACAGAAAGCCTTCTCCTGGAGCTGGCACCCTAAATTTGGACTTCTAGCCTCCTAGACAGTGAGAAAATAAACTTCTCTTTGTTAAAGCCATCCACTTGTGGTATTTCTGTTAGAGCAGCACTAGATGACTAAGACACAGCCCTGGAGGCCGGTCCACTTAATACCTACAGCATTTTGCCCCCTCCTCCAGCCTTGTACTTCTCTTCAGCCTTATCCTGCTCTTTTTCTTTTTTCCATTCCATTCATCCACTTGGAAAATGCTATATAATTGACTTATTTATTACGTGTGCTGCTTACGCATGCTATCTCCCCCAGCTAGGATGTAAGCCCTGTTAGGGCAGGAAGCTTTATTGTTTAGTTCATGGATATATCCCACGTATGGTACATACTAGGCACTCAGTAAACCTTTTTTGAATGAATGAATGAAATGAAATGAAAGAATGGATGAACAAGGGTCAAAGAAAAGAGGGAACACATCCATGCGGCCAAAGGATGAGTCAGAGGCTTTATCAAGGGGATGGCACTTTAGCTGATCTTGGAAAATGGGCCAGACAGCAAGGTATTCCAGACAGAGGCAAGGCCCTGAAAAAAGAGAGAGATGGGGATGTCAAGGGCATGTTCACGGTACAGGGAGGTCCCCACTGTACCACTTAGGGGAGCTACTGTGATGGCATTAGAGCACACAACTGCAAGGGCCCAACAGGTACTGATGATAAAAAATGTTCAAAATTGAATCAAAAAGACCATATGGTCCATGTGGGAGTTCAAAATATATGCAGCCAACTTGACACTTCTCAGGCCAAACTCAGTATGGTGAGGAAGGAAGGGGATCCCCAAGTGGCCAGATGGACAAAGGCCCCTGCTAACCATTGGGCTGCAGGCCACTGCAACCAGACCCTCTTCCTGTGCTATGGAGCAGAGGGTACCCCCAAGCCTTAGAGCATCTTTGTCATGGACTGCACAAGCCTGGGCCTAATAAGGGCCCTCTGTGACTGCAATCCACACACCCTCCGTTGTGTCTTAAATCTGGAGTCCCTGGGTGGTACAAGCAGTTTACGTGCTCAGCTGAGTCCACCTAGAGATGCCTAGGAAGAAAGGCCTGGTGATTTGCTTCCGAAAGGTCACAGCCAAGAAAATCCTATGATGCAGTTCTGCTCAGCACATAAGGGGCTGCCATGAGTTGGAATCAACTTGATGGCAGCTGGTTTTTTAATCACAACCACATCTAGGGAAGGAGGTGGGGAATGAACATACCTGTCTTATATAAAAAGGTTATTTAAAAATCCCAGTTTTGGAGCAAACCTCACAAATTAGGAACATTTACATAAGATATAATTAGGTAAAGCTTGTAAAGTCAGCCATCTAGAACATGAACTCCGCAGGCAGTCTTTTTTTTTTTTTTTTTTTAAATAAAATTCACCAACCTCCACACTTGCCACATAATTAATAAGGCAGAGACTAAGAAGTGGCATTTGAGGTAGCCGGGAAGGTTTCACCTGGAAAAAAAAAAATCCAAAAAGCACCTGAAATTGCCTTTCAGTGTGGCAAAAACCTTTTAGCTCCCCAAGACAAAATTCCTAGCCTTTTTCTATTAGAAAATAAAAAGAAAACGTTCACCACTGAAAAGGTTGATATTCGCAGAGATAGTTCTGGTCTTGGTTTCAGTTATTAAGCTGTCAAAGTGAGCTGCAGAAGAGATGAGCAAATTGTCTTGCTGCTCCATGGCCATGCCCACCCTGCCTCAATAAAGCAAACTGTCAGCTAGTCTGACTCCTGGTGCCATAACCATACAACAATATAAGGATGCCCGGAGTGAGGAGAGTGGCAAGGCGTACTTCTGAGCATCGACACTGCCTAATGCTAATCATGGGGTTTTTCAAGGTATTGCCTGTCCTGAGCTTGCCACTCTCTCAGGTGGCCCCTGGGGCACATCTGCCAGGTTGGAGGATGGAAAAGTGAGCCTTGAAA